CTTGAAATGCCTTCTCCTGGTCACGTTTTGAACAAATACAAAAGCCTTGTCTTAGCTTGTGAGCCTTTTCCTGGCCCTGCTGAGCTCCCGAAGACTCAGCAGAGAAGAAAGTGCAAGATTTGATGCTCGCACCAAGGGGTCTGACGGGAGTCTTTGCACGTCCAGCCTGCCCCACGCACTGCTCCTGGCAAGCGTTCGGCTGGCCGAGGGCTCGGGGCGAGCCGGCACTTCCGCCCTCCCTGCCATCCCGTGCCTGAAGTAAACCTGGGTTGTCCTGGAAGTGCAGTGGTTTCTCCCGGCCGCTCTGAGGAGCTGCGTCTTCCGTGGGCCTTTTGCTCTGTGGGTGGCGGGCGCGGCCAGGCAGCCTCTTCCTACCGGCTCATTCCTCTCTCAGCAGCTCCTGGCCTCACGCTCCTGTGTCAGGGACCAGGAAGTCCGGGGCCGCCTTGGTGGCTCCCTTGCCCAAGAGGCTGACGTGGGCAGGAGCCATCTCTTGCGCCCTTCCTGTGCGAAGGAAGCGTCTCCCCCCCGGGGGCCCCCCCCCCCCCCCGCCCCGCACCGCTCGTGTGCTCCAAGCGTCCTGACTGAGCTGGAGTGATCTACAGCCATCGAGACAGCGGAGCTTTCTGATGACAAAAGTGCAAAGGGTTATTATCTCAGGGTGACGTCCTGGGATGGCAGGAGCAGCTGGCCAAGCACCACAGACCTTCCCCGCTCTCCTCGCCCCCTCTCCACAGGTGGCCCCGCTCAGCGTGGAAATGCTCGAGTGACAGGCCGGACTGAATCCCACCCGAACATCCTGCTCCTTCAACCCTTGGAGGCAGCATTTTACAAAGCCATTCTTCCTATTGTGGCCCCCATCCCTGAGGGAGGCTGTGCTGAATCTCGCTGCGCCTGCCCGCTTGTCGGGTGGCGTGAAGGCCGCCACATGGATGGGAGCAAGCCAGGCAGCTCGGGCTTCCCACGCTGCCTCTGGTGGGTGCGAGCGGGACGCCCCAGGGATCATGTCCTGCTTCCAGGCACGCTGAAGAATGCAGAGAGAAGTGCCGCAAGCAGATTAATGGAGGGGCTTACTTGATCATGTGCAAGCAGCGCGATTGGAGGCCGCTGCAGTCCAGATGTGTCCCTGAAAGGGCAGTGCAAGGCTGTGCCGCAGAGAGGCAACCAGGCCTTTGCAGACGGCTCCCTGTGGAGAATGGGGTGCCATGCAGCAACCCGCCAGATCCAGTCCACGCTCAGGCAGGCCGGCCGGCCGGCAGGCAGCGCCTGCGCCAGGCTGCTTTGGCTGCTGAGGCTGGCGTGGGCCCTCTGTTCTTCAGGGCAGAAGGAGACTGCTGTTTTTTGTAAGCCGTCCAGAGACTCTAGTATTGGACAGCATAGAAAAACTTGAAATAAAGAAATCTCCCCCATTCCTCTTCACGTATTAGAGAAGGATGCAAAGAGATTGCCATACGCACAATTCAGAGAGGCCCTCGGGGTCCCCAGACGTTCAAGAGGTGGGTGCTTTTGGGGCCCCTGTGGGAGTCTGTGCCACGCCTGCAGTGGAACTCGCCACACGTGCCACGAGAGCCTCCACTGCACACGGAAGGGGTTTGCTTCTGGGGCTTCGGCTGGTGGGAGGAAACTTCCAGTTGTTGTGGAAGGTGCTCAGGCAGGCTGGATCTCTGGGAGCGACGAGGAGGTGGGGCAGCCCGGAGAATGCCGATCTCCACGCCTCTGCAGGAATCCAGTTCTGCTGACGGAGAGAAGGCGTGGGCTGCACGCACGGCCTCTGCCTCCCTCTGGGGCTGAGCAGGCCTCTGGAAAGGCCATGCGGGGCTCTTATCCAGGAACATTCGGGGACTCTCTCCGGGGAGCCCCCTCCCGTCCGCCTGCCCCGGACTTCATCAAACCGTGAAGGCAGGAGTGGGCGGACTGGAATGCGGCTTGGGGCACTGCCGCCGAATCTCCCCCTTCCTCGTGTTCCAGCCGCATGGGTGGCCCCGATGCGTCTTAGCCCTGAGAACTCTCCGTTTTGGTGCTGAGAGCAGAGAGGTCACTGCTCAGACCAGAGGGCTCCCAGCACCCCCTGTGAAAGGAGAGATGACTAGAGCCCCCTTGGCCCATTCACCGCCCCCCCCCCACATGGATGCCAGATTTGATTTCATCACCCTCAACATGGCAGCCTCTTGAGGAGCCCTCTTTTGCGAATGGACCGATTTAGTGCTTTCTGTCCCCCAAAATTTTAATTTTAAAATACTTGTAGTCACCTTCCAATATAAAACTCCTGAGGCAGCTTAAAGACAATTCAGTAGTGCATTATCCCAGAGAGACAATAGACTCTATGAAGAAGGATAAACTGAAAGAGGGCCGTGATAACTCTCGGCAGCCATTGAGAGTGTTCCATTCCATGCATTTGTCTAATCCCTTGGGATCTGCAAATCCCAAGATGGTGGCCGTCACTGCATCTCACAGCAGCAAATTCCATCGTGTGAACGATGCCCGGTGCGGACAGGTCCTTCCTCTTGACTGGCCCAGATTGGCCACTCTTCATCTCCATCTTCCTCCATTAGGTTCTCCACTCTATGAATTTCACACACTTCAATCATATATATATATTCTCCTCGCCCTTATTTGCCCTTTTCTGAAGGAAAAGAACCCCAAACATTCCCAGTTTTCCACACCGCACAACCCACGGATTTCTTCCCACGGTCTCGGTGAGAGAGGCTGAACAAAGACCCATCCGCCTCCCAGGCTTCGGGCTGCTCAGAAACAGATGGCCTGAGCTGAGGACGCCCTTGTCCAGGGAGGCAGCCGTGGCCTTTGACAAAGCAAGTCGAAGAAGAGAACGGGGGGGGGGCGGGCCCAGCGGGGGGGGGGGGGGGGGGGGGGGGGGGGAGCGCCGCCTGAGCCCCTCCCCAGTGCTAGTAGGAAATGGGCCCCGCAGCTGCGGAGGCAGGCCAGAAACGCGCAATGCGCTTGCCTGCAAGGAGTCCGTGGGAAGATGCCCACTGGGATTTTCCAGGCTGTGAATAGCTGCAGATACTACCAGAGACTTCCCCAAAGAAGCATTTTAATAAGCGGTTGCTTCTTGAGCAATACGTGTTCTGTATGCTCCTTATATTCTTCTTCAGAGTCCTTAGAGACAGCCCATTTTACACTCCCTAATTGTGGGGGGGGGGGGACTGAAACAGCAGCACGGGGGTGTCCAGCACTCGCCTGACTGGCAGGAGACTTGCCGTCGGCCGGAAAAACTCTGCTCGGCTCGCTTCCTATTCTCACACAGGACTTCCTGTGTTTATGTCCTAGCTGGCTGAACGTGATGCCGTGACTCGGGGTGGGGCACAGGGGTTGCAGGTCGTAAAAGAAATGTGAAAAGTAATTTGAGTATATTAAGTGAAAATAAAAAATGAAGGCATAAATTCCAAGCACAGCTGGAAAACCCCCATGGCAGCTTTCGTAGCAAACTGGCCGCATTGATCATTTCCAGATCTCTCTGTCTCCTTTAGAAGGAGTTTAACCCACCACTGTACAGAGGCGGTTTCCTTAATTTTCATAACGAAGGTAAAATACGCGGTTTGCATGAGCTTTTTCCAAGGGTTTCTATTTCTGCCTTTCTATACAATCTGTTAACAAGGCCAGTGTCATGGCTAGGGCCTGATCAGGCACCAGGACCCAGACAGCCAGCACAGCCACAGGCCCGTTCCCAATCATAGTCAGGCAGTCCAGGGGTTGAGGCCAGCAACAGGAGGACAAAGCCAGCCAGTCCAAATAGAGCAGAGTAGTCAGAGCCGGTCAGGAGCTGAAAGCCAGAGAGACAAGCCAAGGAGAAGCAGGCACCTGGGACTGGAGGTGGAGCAGGTGGAGCCAGGCAGGTCCAGAAGTGAGGGCAGGAACAAGGCAGCAGGCACAGCTTCCAGGAAGCACAGGAAACTCCAATAACATCAAGATCCTTTGCTGCCGAGGCCACATCTGAATGGAAGAGCCGGCTCTTATACAGCTCCTTCCTCAGGACTTCCAGGTGGTGCCCGTAACATCCCAGGTATCTGTGATTGACTGTGGGCCTGATCCTGCAACCACCAGGGCTGCTATGCTGCTCTCTGGCCAGGAGAGGGAGCCCTGGTGCTGCCTCAGGACCTCACTGCTAGGTAGTATAACTCAGAGGTGGCAAACCCATGGCACGCGTGCCGCAGCGGGCACACAGAGCCCTCTCTGTCGGCACGTGAGCCAAGGCGCCCCAGCAGCCGAGCATCGGATAGCAGCGCACAGAGGGGCCATGCACAGGCTCGGAAAGGAGTAGCAGCGCCAGGTGATGACATCACGAACCACGACTCAGTAGCCGTGACTCATCCAAGTTTTTGCATGGCCAGTCACTGGTCTCTTTCTCTGGCGGCAACAGCGGGTGTCTTTCCAGCAGAGGAGAGGGTCTGCCCCTCCATGGTGGCCGGCAAGGGCCAGTCATACATTCAGACCTAACAGAAGCACAGTGTTATATCTTGAGTTGTTCTGGCAATACGAGTCTGTCCACACGCTGGCATGTTCCTGCCCTTGCAGCTGAGTCCCTCTGCCTGAAGAGATTTCTGACTGGTGGCTTTCAGCCCAGGGAAGCTGGCTCAGCTCCCTTCCTCGTGCCTGGTGCCTACAGGGCCTGTCTGGGCTATGCACATCTCTGGCTGAGGCTGAACAGGGAAACATAGAAGCATAGAAACAGAACAAGTCCGACCCCTGGCCCCAGCCGGCCCCGCTCATGACATGCCTACCATGTGCAAGTCTGAGAAATGTTAGAATGAATAATTGGTGACAAACACAAGGAAGAAAAGGAAGAAAAGCACAAAAAGGAAAATATAAAGTTTCAAGTTTTTGTAGCCAGCCACAGGTGGGCCCTAACACACACCCAGCTCCCCTCCGTTCCGGCATCACGTTCGCTTTGCTGGGTGCCTCTCATCCATGATGCCCCGGTCCCGGTTGCTGCTTGCTGCTTCTGTGTTTGTGGCACCATTAATCTTCTCTCTTGCCAGTTCTGGAAGACAGTGCTTGGAATAAAGCGTGGGGCTTCCTCCCCTCCTGGCATTTTCTGGGTTGCAAGTCAGCCATTCTCCTTTCTCTCTGTTGCTAGGAAGATGATCCAGTACACCATCTTGGTGCTGTGCACGCAGCTGGATTGGAGCGTGTTGCTTAATCCGAAGGACCCCAATGTTTGCAGCTACTGGGAAAGGTGAGGCCCTGGGCTGGTGGCTGGGGGTGGGGAGCGGCGGCAATGCGGTTGAAAAGGTTTCCAAGAGTGTACATGGTGATCGCACCCCAACTGTATCTTGCCAGTGCCTCGTCAAAGTGGGGGAGACCGTAAGTTACCTGCACGCAGATAAATGGGGCCGTGCCTTAAGCTCCCCAGTAACATACAAGAAGCACCCTTTATATATCAAAGCGAACCCTTTCCAGTATAATGGCTACCACAGCAGAGGGGGTGGAAGGCAACTGGGATAAAGCCCCATTTTTCCACCAGGATCATATAAATTGCCAGCTGCTTTCGCCTCACCCGCACCCTCTGCAGAGGTCTGGAAATATTCTCCCGGCTCCACTGAATTCTGGCACAGCCTTTCCCTCTGAACTCTTCTCCGCAGAAAGGAGGGAGAAAGGGTGTCACTTGGAACAGCTCCTCACAGCCTTAATTTACATCCTCACAAATTAAGATAGGATCAGAACCGAACAAAACAAAAGCTCTTTTCTAGTTCACGCGGTACTGTCTGTCGGGGCATCTCCATAGCAGCTGTGAGAACGAATACACGAATTCGATAGGAAAGCCCTTTGCGCCTTGAACCTCAGCGCTTGGGTGAACTGTGCTCAGGCGCCCCCTGCAGAGAAGCCCAACTTGCACCAGCACTGTCGGGTAGAGGTGAACCCAACTACACGCTTCCAGAACGTACACAGAGTATTTTATAACCAAGTGGTCACGTGATGCCTTCCTATACAGAACAATCACACAGATCAGCCAGCTACGGATGAAATGGCAAACATTACTGAATGGAGTGCATTTACACTCCGATTGAGTAAATTCCTGCAACTCACGCCAAATTCCGTGTCCATTCAAACATGAACATGCGAGTTGCTGGGAAATCATTCACGAAATCTTGCTACATTGTGGAGGATCTGGGGGCACCAGCCAGCAAGGCTGCTTAACCCAATCCTTTGTGCATAAACTGAGAATTCCTTGGAGGACTGCGGAGCAACAGTGTAGCAACGGGATGCTTTACACCACTGGGCGGCCGCTGAACGGACCCTGGGAATTTCCCAGCATCACTGGCCTGTGGCCAGCCAGTTTCTGAATTCAGTTTCTCCTGAATGGGAAGCTTGTAGGCAGGACAGGAATGCAACCACAGTGAAGGAACGCGACTCTTTTTCCTGCCAACATTGTAGATAATGTAGAAGCAGAGCGAGTCGAAGGGGTCTCCTGGGCCATCTAGCCTGACCCCGGTTCTAGCCGGCTCTGCTCACGACATGCCGCCATGTGCAAGAGTGTGAGTCCGTTTCGGTGTTTGCATATGGCGGTTTCTCTGCCTGAAGCCCTGCGAACACTTCCGCCGTGATGCTGTCCCACCACTGAAGGCGACTCCCTGTGCTCCCCCAGCTTCACCAGCCCCTCCAAGGAGTCCCATGCGCAGCCCTTTGCCCAGGCCTTCCAGGGGCCTTGTGAGAGGACCTGGCCCTTCCGGAAGATGTGCACTCAGCACAGGTAAGGCGGGCGGGCGGGCACAGCGGGGGGGCTGCTGGGAGGGTCCATCAGGAGCCCGAAGGACTCGGCGATGCTCCGTGGGGCTCCCCGTGGTGGGAGAAGAGGGGCGCAGGCGACTGGCCTCTGTGCGGTTGCCAGAAGTGCCTGTGCCGCGTGCCGGGCTGGAAGGGTGCTGGTGAAGCTTCCTTGTCCCCTGTGGCTGCTGGCTCCTCTCTTGACTTGGGCAGTTATGCGTGATGCTTGCGTTGCCGGGAAAACCCCAATGCCTCTGTGGGCTCTCCCCGGACGGAGTTCTCCAGAAAGCACTGCTGTTCTTGGGTGTGGGGTGAGGCCCTTCCCGATGGGGGCTCTGCAGACATCTGCACATTGGTGGGGCAGTCCTAGCGGGGTTCCTGCATCTCCCGGTGGCAGAAGGTCCCCAGGGGAGGGGAGTGGCAGGCCTGGTGGGAGGGGGCTGCTTCATCCCACTGTTCCATCTTGGCTTCCACCAAGGAGATGCTCTTGGCCAGCCTCCCCTTCTGCCCCAGGAACGGCAGCTGCTCAGGGCGGCCTGCCTCCTCCACTGCCCCTGCCCTGCCCTGCCCGGGGCACATAGGATCGGGAGGCCCCTGGCCTTCAGGGACGTTCTCCGACTTCCGCAGAGTCGTGTACAAGGCAGCCTATCGGCAAGCAGTGAAGGTGGACTACAGGAAGCGCTTTCGCTGCTGCACGGGGTACTACGAGAGCAGCTCCAGCTGTGTCCGTAAGTACCTGCTGGCATCCCAACAGCAGCAGGAGTGGGCGGAATCCATCTCAGCTGGGGCCCAATTCCACTCCGGAGCAGACTTCAGGGAGCCGAAGGCAGAGGTGGAGCTGCGGGACCCCAAACCACAGCCTGTCTTGACTTCGAGCTCACCAAGCTGGGCAGGAGCCTGAGCAGAGGCCTTGCAGCCTCTCAGAAGAGGGAGGAGAGGCCACCAAACCAGGACCCCGTCCTACCCCCTCTCCCCTCTCTGCTGCAGCACACTGCACCCACGAGTGTGTGCACGGGAGGTGTGTGGCTCCAGACCAGTGCCAGTGCGAGCAGGGATGGAGGGGCGCCGACTGCTCCAGCGGTGAGTCTCCCTCTCACGAGCAAGGAAGTGGTGGCGGCACCCATGGAGGGTGTGGGGGAGCGTCTTGCGCCCCGCGGCAGAGCAGTGGCGCAGGCTGCCTCGGAAGCGCCCCCCATGGCCGTAGGACAGACCCCAGGAAAGCGAGGGTGCACGTGTCATGGGGGCCCCGGGTGAACGCTCTGCTGGAGGAACAGCATTTGGGGGGCCGGAGCACGTCCCAAGCACCTCGCGGTTCTTGCTGCGCCTGCTCTGCGGGGCACCCCACACTGCCAGGCTGGTGGACGGCGTGTGTCCCCGGCCGGCCTCACCGGCTCACTCTGTTCCCCAGAATGCAGCAGCCGCTCCTGGGGTCCCGACTGCAGGGAGCACTGTGCGTGTGCCAACGGGGGCTCCTGCGCGCCCTCGACGGGGGCCTGCGCTTGCCCGGCAGGCTACACGGGCCCGCTGTGCCAGGAGCCCTGCGCGGCGGGAACCTACGGCCAGGGATGCTCGCTGGACTGCCAGTGCGGGAACAGCACCGGCTGCGACCGGGAGACCGGGGGCTGCTTCTGCTCCCCGGGCTATGCTGGGCCACAGTGAGTAGGCCGAGGAAGAGCCGGGAGCGCGTTCGGGAAGGGGAGAGCTTCCGGCGTCCTGGCACATCGCTCGCTCGCTCGCTCTCTCTGAAGCTTGCCCTTCCTCCCAGACCATTGCCCCCGAGTCTCCCAGGTGCTCCTCGCGGGGGCCCAGGGCCGGCCCCAGCACCCTTGGACTTCGGCCCACTCTCCGCTGCTGGAGGCACCAGGGCTGCCGAGAACTGGGGCCGGGAAGACTCAGGGCCCTCTCAAGAGAGAGAGGATCTGGCCTGGCCAGGCCTGGCCTACGGAGGGGAGGGGAGTGGGAGTGGGAAAGTGGGTGGCCCCTGGCTCTGTCTCCGTGGGCCCCCGGGAGGAGCTTTCTGCGTGGCGCCCTGTGCGGCCCCTTCAGGCGGTCTTGGGGTGCTAGTGTGGGCTGCTGCATCCGGATTGCTGGCAGCTTCCCCAGAGCTGCGGCCCTACGCCTTTGCTAAAAGGATGGCTTTCCTTTAGTGAGCATTCTGTACCTGAAATGCCACATTAGGTTTCGTTTGTACCCAGAGCTCTGCCAGAAAATGGCGTCCGGCGCAGGCGATGTCCTGCCTTATCCTGGCAGGGGTGCTCGGGCTCCTTCCCATGGGACTGACGTCCCACTGCTGCTCTCTTCCAGCTGCGAGTTCCCCTGCACCAGGGACGCCAGCGGATGGCGGTGCCAGGAGCACTGCTCCTGCCAGAACAGGGGGATCTGTCCCTCCCCAGGGATACATGAGTGCACCTGCCCCCCTGGCTGGATGGTACGTTGCAGAGGGGGAGCACCTGAACGGCGGGATGGCCCCCTTCCCCACGCGGCTTGGGGGACGAGCCTCTCCTTGCGGGCTCAGGGGGGGACCCAAGTCCTCCGTAGCCCATCATCCACCCTCTTGCCTTCCCAGTCACTTCCCTGCTTGAGGCGATCAAGGAGAAGGCCCTGGGTGGTGCCCCGACAGCGACCGACCGGCCTTGCCCTGCTCTCTCCCCCGGCCCCAGATTGGGAGGCTCCCCCCCGCGCGCACACACACAGTTTAACCCGCTGTAACCCTCTTTTCCTACATGGTCTGCACAAGTGCAGCAGAAGTTGCGGGGGGATACTCCCTTGCATGCCGTGGGGGGCTTCCCCTCCATCTGTGGGGAACCTCTTGAGCTGTTTCTGGTGGTGGACCCATTTCACCAGCCACGGGACCGCTGTCTGTTGCTCTAGAGAGAGATTTGGCTATTGGGCAGCAGAGAAATTAAATAAGTCCCCCCCACCCCCCCAAGAAGAGCTTGCACTGGTCTTCCCATCTTCTGGTGAAGGAGCTCCAGCCTTTGCCGACGGCCCCCTCTCCTTCCCCGCACAGGGCGCCATCTGCTCCATCCGCTGCCCGGAGGGACGCTTCGGCTCCAGCTGCCAAAGGGAGTGCCAGTGCCACAACGGAGGCCGTTGTGACCCCGAATCAGGGCAGTGCCAGTGCGCACCGGGCTACACTGGAGAGCGGTGAGGAGGAAGAGCAGACCTGTGGGCTGCAGGGAGGCATACAAACACAATCAGTCGCGCAATCCTTGCAAGAGCCAGGAAGAAACACAGCCCCGGACTTGGGGGTTGCCCGCAGCAGCCCAACCTTTGCCCTCAGAGGCACCGGAAAGTCACTTGGGAATCACCGAGTCTGGACGGGTGGCTGGGGGTGCGGAGGGGGTGCCCAGCTCTGCCTCTGCTCCCCACGCACTCAGCTCTCCCTCTTCCCTCCTGGCCACCAAGGTGCCGCGAGGAGTGCCCCGTGGGCAGGTACGGGCAGGACTGCCGCCGGGCCTGCGACTGCGCCAACGGGGGGCGCTGCTTCCACGTGGATGGCGCCTGCCTCTGCGAAGCCGGCTTCCTGGGCAGCCGCTGTGAGGAGCGCAAGTGCCTGCCTGGCCTGCACGGCCTCAGCTGCCACTTGCCCTGCCTCTGCGACACCCAGCACACCCAGAGGTGGGTCGCCTCGCCCCTGCCTGCAGGGCGCCTCCGCACCGCTCCGCACCGCGCGGGCTGGCCGGCCGGCCGGGATCCGGGCCCCCGGCCCCGGGGGCGGGGGTGGGGGCGGCCGCCGTGGTGCAGCCCAACGAGCAAACGGCCTTGGTTTCTTTTGGCACTCGGGCACGTGGGCAATGGGGGCAATCGCAGGGCATTCTAGGACGGGACGTGGAAGTGGGACAGAAGGGAACGTGCCCCTGAGCAGATCCATTCGCCCACCGGGCAAGTCCCCAGTCTCCGGGCGATGCACGTCCGGAGCAGTGGGGCGAGACCTGGAAGCCACGCGCGGCCTGCCCAGCTGCCTGGTGGGGAGTGAGCTCGGTCCGCCTTCCCGCTGGGGCTGGTGGGCAAGCAGGGAAGTCCCTGGCCATTGGAGGGACTCCCTGGCCCATTTCCCCTCTCCATGGTGGAAGGAGAGCTGCCCAGCTGCCCATGGAAGAGTTGGGAGCTACTCAGACCTTCTTTCCTGAGAGAGGAGGCCCGGGGTCTTCACACGCTGACCAGGGGCCCTTGGGGCTCCCCAGAGCCCGGCCAGCCGTGCCGCCAGCCAGGGGGCACTGCGAAACAGGCCAGCCTCGGCAGCGAAGCTCAGGCCCCGAGGCCTCCCCAGATCACCGCGAAGGCACGCCGATCGAAAGTGCCGAGTTACCTGCCTGCTAAACCCAGGACTTGTTGATGGGAGCACCTGCCTCTGTTTCCCCAGCTGCCACCCGCTCTCCGGGGAATGCACTTGCCGGCCAGGCTGGGCAGGGCTTTTCTGCAACGAGACCTGTCCCCCGGGTTATCACGGAGCCGGGTGCCAGCACCCCTGCCTGTGCCTGAACGGGGGGACCTGCAGCAGCGAGACCGGGCTCTGCACCTGCCCAGCCGGATTCCTGGTGAGTCCCTCCGGAGGCTGAGGTGGGGGGGGGGGCTGCGCCAGCCCTCCTCACCGCGGCTGCTTAGGCCTGACACAGGACATCAGTGCCCTGTGGGCGGCCCTGGCGAGATATTTGATGGGTGGGAAGTTGAAACAGCAGGTAAAATGCCCCCCCCACGCACCCTCACCAGCAGGAGCCGGCCACCTTAGGAAAGCCGGCAGGGAGCCCCGCGGGCTGTGGCTGTCGCTCTCTGGGGCAGCCCCTGAATGCCTGCCAGCCCCTCAGCCAGGTGGGCTGGGTAGAGACTCCTGGCAGCGCCAACCCCTACGCCCTCCTGCCTCCCCAGGGTGAGCACTGCTCCAGCCCCTGCCCCGCCGAGACATATGGCCTGAACTGCTCGCACCACTGCACCTGCCAGAACGCCCTGGCCTGCTCCCCCATCGACGGAAGCTGCACCTGCAAGGAAGGTATGGAGCTGGAGTGGGGGGCGGGGTCAGCTCCTGGGCCCCGTCCCCTTTGCCCAGGCACGGACTCAAGGGCCATTGGGATCGCTGGATCCGGCTCCTGCGATGCCAAGCACTGGGCTTCCTGGCCGGAGCAGCTCAAGGGCCGCGTTCCTCCCCTTCCCACTGCCCGAGCCGTTCCTCTGTGGGGCCAGCCGGCCTCGCGTGCTGCCACCCTCACAACCGCCGACTTTCCCCCTGTGTCTCCCCCCCCCCAGGCTGGCGAGGACCAGACTGCGCCCTGCCCTGCCCGGCTGGAACGTGGGGCTCCGGCTGCAACCGCACCTGCCTCTGCGCCAACGGGGCGGCCTGCGACCCGGCCGACGGGCGATGCGCGTGCACACCAGGCTGGGCCGGGAGCAGGTGCCAGGAGCCGTGCCCAGTAAGGCCGCCAGGGTCCCCCCGGCCCTCTCCCCAGGCTGCCGAGCGTGCCGGCTCTGCAAGGGGAGGCGCTGGCATCTGAAGGAAGGCCCCCTCCCGTGTTCCCCCCCAGTGGCCAGAAATGCCGCATGCTCGCGCTCGCTCTCTCTGCCCCTGCCATTAAGTTTCCCACGGACAGGCAAGGCTGTCAGGAGAGCAGAGAGAGGAGCAGCTGGTGGGCGGTGGGCTGCCGGACGCTGGGGGCTGCCCGCCGGAAACCTCTGCTCCCTCACACCCGAGCCTCCCCCACCCCCAGAACTGGTTCTACGGCCTGAGCTGCGGCAGCAAGTGCTCCTGCCAGAACGCGGACGGCTGCGACCCAGAGTCGGGACAGTGCCGCTGCCGACCCGGGTGGACAGGTGAGGGCAGGGCAGGGCAGGGCCACAGAGGAGCCTCTCGGGCTTGGGAGCAGCGAGCAAGTGGGGAGAAACACCGCGGACCTCGGCAACCTCCAGTTCTGCACACAGCCGGGGTCCTGCAGCTGTGCTCGGCCGCAGAGCGGCAGCCAGCTCCAGACTGGGCCCATGGTTGCCGCCTCGGCAGGCACCTTGGCCCGGCCCGCGTGTTCCCGCTTGGGCCACGTGTGGAGATGAGCTGCGCGCCGTTTGCCCTGCAGGTTCCCTCTGCACCAAGCCCTGCTCCTGCAGGAACGGTGCTGCCTGTTCTCCAAAGGACGGGAGCTGCGACTGCCCGCCCGGCTTCCGTGGCCCCACCTGCCAGCGCCGTAAGTGAGCCCGTCCCCAGCCGGTCCACTCAGGGGAGCCCCGGGCAGTACCGAAGCTCCGGTCTGGGCAGTGGGAGGGTCAGGCAGAGGGGCCTGCAAGCCGGCAGTGGGCCCCGGCCGGCAGAGAAGCTGCTGAGGCTCAGCGGGGTGTGCAGAGCTGGGCAGGGCACGTGGCTCCCAGGGCCCCCCAGGTGGAGGAGCGTACCCTCCCACGCCACTCACAGCCAGCCTGGCTCCACACACTCCCGAAAGGCTTGCTGCGCCGTGCGGGCCCTGCCGGCAGCGAGGGCAAGGGCAGAGGCAGCTTTCGGGCGTCCGTGGGGCAGGGTGCCCTCTGTTGTCCACTGCAAGAGGAATCGAGGGCCGCTGCGGTCAGGTGGGGTCTGAGAGGAAGCGGCCTTCCGGAGGACCGGAGCAGCGGGAACAAGCCCTCCTCCTGCTTCCCTGCAGCCTGCCAGCCGGGGCGCTACGGCAAGAGGTGCTCCATGGCCTGCACTTGCGCCAACCACTCCGCCTGCCACCCCGTGGATGGCTCCTGCGCGTGTCCTCCTGGGTGGAGGGGCAGCGACTGCTCGCAGCGTGAGTTGGCCTGGGCGGGATTCCCGGGCACAGGCTGTGGGCTGCCTCCCGAAGCCGGGCAACACCAGCCCTCCGTCGCTCGAGGGCAGCGGTGGGCGCCCGAGCGCCCATCCCAGCCCCACTTCGCTGCTCCGGTTTTGCAGGCTGCACTCCGGGGTTCTTTGGGCAGAACTGTGCCCGGACGTGCCAGTGCGTGAACCAGGCCCTGTGCGAGGCAGAAAGCGGGAGCTGCTTGTGCCCCCCCGGGCTTCACCGGGTCCCGCTGCGAGACAGGTGAGGGCGAGCGCGCTCCGGCCTCCCCTCCAGGCAGGCGTGCGCTCCGATGCAGTGGCCGGGGAAGAGCGGTTCCCTTGCCACCTCCCTCACCTGGCTTCTTCCTTCTCGACCACCTGCCCAGAAAGCCCTGGGGAGGATTCCCTCGCTACGGTCCCGGCCCCCCCTGCAGGCTCCCCGTCCCTCGGTGCCGTGGCCGGCATCGTCGTCGCGGCTGCCTTGCTGCTGGCCCTGCTGGTGCTGCTGCTCTGGTGCCGGCAGTGGCAGAAGGCCAAGGAGCGCCAGCACCTCGCCGTGGCCTACGCCGCCGGGAGGCCGGAGAGCGCCGAGTACGCGGTTCCAGGTACGGGGCAGGCAGAGCAGACCCGAGGCGGGTGGCTTGGCCCCCACAGGCTCGGGGAAGCCTGCGAGCTGCCCGTGAGCGGGGGGGGGGGAGAAGGCTTGGGGCACGCAGGTGCTCCCGTGGCCCGGGCAGCACTGCTCAGGCGGGACTGGGGGACCAGTGCGATGGCCGGCGGCCTGCGCTGCCTGTGCGTCCGTCTGCAGGGGGCGTCAGCCGGGGAGCAGCGGCTTTCTCAGCCCCCCGCCTGTGCTTTCCTCCCTAGACATCCCTGCCAGCTACGCCCACTACTACTCGAACCCCAGCTACCACACCCTGTCTCCCTGCTCGCCGTGGGTCCCCAGCCCCAGCAGCCTGGAGCAGCCGGGCTCCAGCAAGGTAAGGGACTCCCCCTCCGGGGTCTGGCCTCCCCCAGCAGGGCCCCTTGCCAGAAAGGGCAGCGGGTGAGAAGCCCAAGGGGAAAGCCTCTGGCCCTGCCCTTCGCTGTGAGCAGGGGGGCTTCTGCGGCCCGGGCAGCCCACGTCCTTCTCCTGCCCTCCACCCATCTCCTTGTCCAGCCAGCATCTGCCCGCCGGGCTACCGCCTGCTCCGGCCCCAGAGACTCCCCTGTTGACCCTCAGCAAGGCATTTGGCCGTGAAAACCGGACTCGGGCTCCTCTCAGCCCAGAGGGGGCCTGATGGCTGCCGTGGGGCTGCTGCGGAGAGCGCTCATCCTCAGACGATCCCTCGGTGCTTGGGGGCGCTGCTCCTCCCAGCTCAGCAGTGGGGCTGCCCTGAAAGCTGAAGGCAGCCGGTGTCTCGGGGTGTGTCTTTGGGCTCCCAGTGGCAGAGCGGCTTGCTCAAAATCTCTTGGGGTGACCTTGCCTCTCCCCACTTTCAGCTGATCAGCAGCCCCAAGCGGGAGTGGCTGGGAACGCATGGGGCGGACTGCAACGCCACTCTGCCGGCGGACTGGAAGCACCACGGGGCAGCCGTGGCACGGAGCCACGTGGGGCAGGGTAAGGCCTTCCGGAGGGGGCGATCCTCGGGTGAGAGACGCCGCGGTGACTGAGGTGCTGCCCCTTCTGCGCAGGCTCTCCCAAGGGAAGGCCTGGGCCACCCTGTCTCTTCCCCGCACACCGTCGTGAAGAATCTCACGTTGCTGGCAAGGGCCCTGCAAACAAGGGACAGGAAGGGTTTCCGACCTGCCTGGCTCTGAGGGGCGTCCGAGAGGCGGCCTGCAGTGGGGAGCTGCGGAGAGGCCCTCTTGGGGTGCTGCTTCCACCCTCAGGCACTGGGGCAGGGGGGGGGAGCGCACGGAGACTGGAACCGAGAGCGTCATCCAGCCAAACGGTGCCTCATCTCCTCCAACATCCTTTCCTTTCCTTTCCTTCAGGTGGGGGCCTGATAGACCGCAGCTACAGCTACACTAACGGGCTCAGAAATTATAAAGGTAACAGGCACTGCTGGGGTGCAGTCTTGGGGTTTGGCTGAGGGGGTGACCCCTGTTTGAAAACGGCCCGCTTCATTCCCCAAGGAGCAAGGCGGGAGACAGCCTGCTTGCCATCGGGGAGGGCTCCGGGGGGGTGCTCCATGATCTTCAGACCCCCCTTGAGGCTGGTCATGCATGGGATGGCTAGCTGCCAGTAAGAGGGTTGGACCAGCCTTTCTAACCATTATAAGGTATGAAGCACCCTACCAAGAACCCGCAGAAAGAAAACATTTTTGAAAAACAATTGAAATAAATCACAGGAGGTGCGCATGAAACATGTCTCCATAAGTTTAAAAAATTAGTGCGTACAGTTTGGCATGAAGTTCAGGAAAGACGGCCCTGTATTCACGCATCTGCAGGTGGCGTTGAAATACAACCCACTCAGCTGCTGAAAAGCATCATTATGACCCGAATCCGTTCCGAGGCAGGAGGAGCATTTCTCCTTCCAAAGGTGCAAGACCAGTCTTTTGGCTATCCAAGGCTGCAGAACATCCATTTGCGAGGTCCTCCAGGGAGCGCGGAAATAATTCAGAAGCACACGTGCCTCGGTAAATCTTAAACAGCCTTCCAAGACCACTGTGTCCTCGTTCCAAAAAGCAGGAACCCGTCCCATGCCCTCTGTGCATAAGCAAAGTGCTCACAGCATGCCATCTGCAATGGTGGGCTGACTCAGGCGAGCCATAAAATTTTCCAGAAAGTGGAAGTTTTGCTGAATAGGATACAGAGTCTCCTCTGAGGCACAAAAGCGAAGTCACGCTGATTAGGCAACACAGAGCATTCGGTTCGTTACTTCATGGTCTTTAAGACTCTGATTATTTGCATCATGCCAATCATACGTATGGCGGGACCCCCACATCCACCACGGGGAGAGGCTCCAAGCCCCCCAGGAAAGGCCTGAAACTGAACAGGAGCAAACACTGCATACGTGGGGGCTCGGGGTGGAGGCCCCTGCCAAAGTGGAGAAACTGCACCGAGAGACAAAGCACGTGAGGCTGGCTAGGGCCACACAGAGTGTGTCCTTCCCTGGAGAGAGTCACCATTTTTCTGCTTTCGTGGGGTGCTGTACCCCAACTTCTGCGAATGTGGAGGGCCAACAGTCAACCTCGGTTAAGTGAAACCATGGTAACTGAAACAGTGGGTCTGGGGGCTCCTGTATTTATGTTTAGAAGTATGTATGGCCTTTCAGGGGTGGCCAAGCCAAGACGCGGGAGCTGTGCGCGACCCTTTGAGCTGATGCTGTGGTTTGCCACTGGCTGTTGCGGGCACCCACCTGCCGCCGGCCACCAGCTTGTGGCTCTCCATCCTCTGACATTCCCCGTGTGGCATTCTCCCATTGAGCAAGCCTGGCTGCCTCAGATGCAATCGCTCAGCTTCAGCCGGTGGATCATGGCCACTCTGCGGCCTAACCCTTAATCCCCCCCCCCCCCCGCAGGTTACAGCAATGAGGAGCCCCTGGGACGAAGCGACAGCTCTCTGAGCAGCGAGAACCCCTACGCCACCATCAAGGACCTGCCCGTCCTGCTGGGCAAGCCCACGGAGAGCAGCTACATGGAGATGAAGTCCCCCTCCAGGTGCGGGACGGCCGACGCGGAGGCCGGCCTCTCAGGAGAGCCTGCCCGGGGCCCGGACGCCGAGGAGGCGGCCGAAGGAGGTACGTGGTGGCAGCCACGCTCTCCCAGTGCTTCGGCCCCTCGCTGCCGCACGATGAAGGCGCCCAGAGAGCAGACGGGGCGGGCCGCTCCAGCTGCACGGGCAGATGCAAAGGCAGTGGCGTCGGCTTGGCCTTGCTACGTGCACGGAATAAACCGGGCACTCGGTACTCCCATATCAGTGAAAAACCGGTGCCTGCCTGTCAGTGTGGCCGTCTAGTATACTTCCTCCTTCATGGCGGGGCAACTGGCTCACATTCTGTTAAGTAGGTTATGTAGGAGTAAAGCTGCAGCCGGGCCTTTCAGGGCATTGTCAAAACCCGTTCCGTGGAAGGCATCCCCCAAATCTCAGCCTCCTGCCTTTCGCAGCTTTCTCTCTACGAACCAACCAGACTTGGGCCAACAAGCCCTGGATCAGCTCTTGAGCCGCAGCGGTGCAGGATCCCTGCAGGCCTTTGGCCAACCCCGTGAAGAGCAGAAACCTACTTGGTTTCTTTGGTGTGAGCAAGAGGAACGCTGGCCGTAGCAGGATTCTTGCTTTGCTCAGGGACAGTGAGCTTCTTCCCTGAGGAGAGGCAGGAGGCTGCGCTTGTTTGCAGTGCTCTTGACACACAGGCTGGGGGATGGATGCCCTGCAGAATTGCCCCCCGGGCCTGGAGAGCTCTTGGGAGCCAGAGCTCCCTACCCCTCGTGACGGTTCCTTCCACTCATCCATTGTGTCCGGACCAGGAACAGCAGCCAGTGGCCCAGGGAGACGGCCAGCTCCCGTCTGCAGGCAGCCAGAGACCAGAGGCTCGGGAGGCTGGTGCAGAGAGACCACCAGGCCTGGCCAAGCAGGCAGGCACTGCCACGGCCCCCCCGCCGCCGCCTCCCGGCATACAAAAGAGGTGCCCTCGTTCTTTGGGCTTTCGCTCAAGGCATCGGGGCGATCCCCAGGCAGAGGGGGAGCGGCCAGCTTACACATGGCACCAACCCAAGAATGCCTGTGTCTTTTGTGGCTCATCGTTTATCATTCTCTCTCCTCCTCTTCCTCCTCCTCCAGGCAGCAGCTTGGCTGGGGCTGATGGCGCACCCCACGGAGCAGCAGCTGCCCTAGCCATTCCCCCGAGCCACTACGACTCCCCCAAGAACAGCCACATCCCCTGCCACTACGACGTGCCCCCCACCCGGCACTACCCGCCTTCCCCGCCGTGCCGGAGACAAGCCAGATGAAGGCCCGTCCTCCTCCTCCTCCTCCCTCGATGGAGCCTCTTTGGCAAAGGCGGAGGGCCCAAGTCGGAGCTTCCTGTGCAATGGAGGACTCCCGCGGTTGCTGGCTTCCCACCTGGGGGTGGCCACGGAGATGCGCAAGCACAGCTCTCCAGCCACCTTGCGCCTGCTGTGCGGGACGGGCGGTGGCAGCCCAGCCCCGGCTCAGCCAGCGGGCCCCTCCGCGCCCTCGTGGTGCTGGATCGCCGAGGGGACACGTGAGCTCTGGAGCGGCCAGCCCCGGGAGCATCCCCCCTGCGCCCCCACTGCTGCCCGTAGGCGAGAGCAGCTGCTTCTGGTCCCACGGAACCCAACAGCGCCAAGAGACCGAAGCAGTGGGAGGAAGTCGGAGCGAAGCTGGTCGCCTGCCGAACTTAGGAATTCACGCAGAGACAGAGAAGTGGCCAACGGTTTTGCTTTCCCGTTTCGGAGCCCTTGGAAAGCTTCCGCATTTGTGCTGCGCGGCTGCGATTGCCAGGGAAGCGGCAAGCCCCCCCACCCCATGCCCACCCGCGTCCAGAGCCTCCAGCTGCTCGCATCTGGGCTGAGCCCTCAGTGACAAATGCCACAGCTCACGTCCTGAAAGGACGTGTCCGCGCTGTTTTCCGGGACCGGCGACATGCCGGCTGCTTTGTGCAAGTAAAGAGTCGCACCGTCAACACCTGCGTGTTGTATCTTTGCATCAGACACACAGATAAGAGGAGCACATGTAAACACAGCCACGCAGAAGGGCAGCCCCACAAGCGCCGGCTGCCTGGCAGGGACACGCGGCCCATGCCTCCCCCCACGGGATGCACGCCTGGCCTCTGGCCAGGCGCGCCGAGGCAGGAAGGGGCCACCTGCCAGTTCACACGGGAAGGGGGCAGGCGGCGGCGGCAGGCCATGCTCCTGGCACGGCTCACGTGGGCCCCGTGGAGGAGAGGTGCTTGGGAGCCCGCAAGGTGCAGTTTGGCCTGTGGGGCTTGCGCTGCGCTGGAGCCGTGTGCGGAGACGGCATGGTCTGGAGTAAGCGAAGCGCTTTGGCGACAGTGTGGGGGGAGTTCAGTGGTGCTCCTTCCCTCCCCAGATGGGCACATGGAGGGGCCGGGTTGGCCCACCGGCCTTCCCTTCCCAGCCCCCGGTGCTCTTCCGCCCCCTGCCCAGGTGCAGCTGCTGCCTACGGGGCGGGGGGTTCAGTGCAGCCCCAGGTCCCCCCAGGCCCGAGCGGCAGCATGGGACTCGTGGCAGCCTTCCCCAGCCCAGGCCCTTTCCCTCTGGACTGCGGTTCCCATCAGGCCCAGCAGCGAGGCCACGGCCGGGAAGGCTGGCAGCTCTGCTCGAAGGCAGCACAGAGCAGCAGGCTGGGAGAGGGACTTGGGAAGGGTCGCAGCCCCAGCTCAGTAGCACAGGAGGGGCAGGGGGCGTGTGTGCCGGGCAGCCCCCCCCCCGGGCGCACCGAGGGCGAGTGGCCCCCACAGGCTCGGCCCGGGGCCCACAGGGCGAGTCTTGGCGCAAGCGCGTCTCTCGCAGAAGCCAGTGCCAGGTCCCGGGAAGGCAGCTGGCCCTCTCCTCCGGGCAGGAGTCCACTCCCTCCTCCAGCCAGCAGTGCCAGCTGTGCGGTCCATGGGATCCGAGCCCCAGTCCCAGGCGGGCAGGGGGGCGAGACGAGGCGCGCCGAGCTCAGAGGCCCGGCTTCCCGTTTCTGTGGCAGCAGTTTGTGGGCTGGCTCCAGTCACCACCGGGGCCCGCGGCAAGCAGTGGGCCGCCTGCAGGGGCGGCGTCCGAGGCAGGGGCCGGCGCAGGCCCCCCTGTCTCCTCCTCCTGCAGCAGCACGTCTGTCTCCGTGTCCAGCGCCTCCGGGCAGCTGCCACACTTGTTCTCCGGGCTGTGGAAGAAGGAGAGAGCGCGGAAGCCGGCGCTCATGTCGTCCTGGATGCGCTCCAGAATCTGGGCGAAGGAGGGGCGCAGGCGCGGGTTCTGCTGCCAGCACCCCACCATCAGTTCGTGGCTGGAGGAGGAAGAGAGGCAAAAGCGGCCATGGGGCTGCTGTTACGGGCCCGGGAGCAGTGGCCGCGCTGGGCCCCCGCAGCTGGCCGGCCGGCTCTGGCCAGGAATCAAGAGGGGCGTCCTGCACACAGAGCCGGAGGGAGCCGAGCGGCCAGGGGAGGCGGGTGGAGGGGGCAGACTCACAGCTTCTCGGGGCAGTTCTCCGGCTTCTCCAGGACCCCGTTGTCCATCACGTAGTGCAGGACCTGCTCGTTGGACATGCCCTGGTAGGGCTGCTCGGCCAGCGTTGCGATCTCCCACAGCACCACCCCGAAGGACCTGTGGCGGGGGACACCTCGGGTCAGGGGCGGACGCTCCCGGGCTGTCCCAGGCCGGCCGGCCGGCCGGCCTCGATCACCCCCATGCCAGCACACCGCCTTCCACGCTGCAGGAGTGCCGCCCCGGCCCGTTGCACTCGCCCCCAACATCGCTTCAGAAGCCCAAACCGAGAGAGATCTCAGGAGCTGGGGGGCTGCAGCTGGTTGGCAGGCCCCCGGCACGGTTCTGGCCCCTCTGCAAGAAACTGCCTTTTCTGCCCAACTGGGGCCAGGGGACGGGTAGGCTGCAGGATACCCCCCCCCCATTCTTCCTCAAGGCTTGTTTCCCTTGGCCAAGGAAGTGCGCAGGTACCGCCTGCTGTGGGCCCGTCCCTCTGCCCCGGCCCATGTGCTTGTGGGGAGAAAGAGCAGTGCCCAAGTCCCAGTCAGCCCGAGACCCCCATGGGCACCTGCTTCTGGCTGTGGGGACACCCGGGAAGGGCTTGTACAGCGGCCCAGAGCCATGGGGTAGGGGTGGGGTGCGACGTGGAGTCCCAGGCACCTACCAGATGTCCGAGTGAGTGCTGAAAATCCCGTCCTTCAGGGCTTCCGGGGACATCCAGCGGACAGGCAGCAAGCCTTTCCCCCCCTTGCGGTAATAATCCGTCTCGTAGATGTCCCTGGTCATGCCGAAATCTTTCAGAGGGAAGAGAGGGAGGCGCGTCCTTTGGGATGGCGTCCCAGTGCTGAGGACCCCCAGCTGAGCTGCGAGATCGAGCCAAGTGGGAGGGACCGAAGGGAGGAGGGGGAGACCCTGCCGTCTGGCAGCATGCAGGTAGGGCTTGAAGGCCCGAGAGAGCTGCTGCTGCTGCCAACCAGAGTCGGCAGCACAGAGCTAACTGGTTCAGGGCAGAGGTGGGCCCACGCCTTCCAGCCGCTCAAAGGGGCCTTGTGGCAGGGGGAGAAGCGCGGCTGCCAGCCGGGGCCTCGGGGTGACGCTGGCGCCAGGCACAGGAAGGGGCAGAGGAGATGGCGGCTCCACCCGCAGGGGGTCCCCAGAGCAGCGGAAAGGCGGGAGACGGGCCACGGCAGCCACGGACACGCCGGGACTCCCGCTGCGCCCACCTCCGATCTTCACGGTGAAGTCCTCCGACACCATGCAGTTGCGGGCGGCCAGATCCCGGTGCACAAACTTCTTGGCGTTCAGGTAGGCCATGCCATCTGCGATCTCGCCCGCCATCTGGATCATCTCCCTCAGGGAAGGGGGCGGTCGCCCGGGATTCATCTAGCGGAGAGACCCACACGCCGCTGGGCGGGGGGCTCCTCACAGTGCAGAGCCCCCCCTCCCCCGAGAGGCCTCCTCGCCAGAGCCAGCAGCGCATGCCCCGCACAATCAGCCCTCTGGCCCCGGCTCCCCTCAGCTCCTGCTGCTCTCTTGCGGGGTGGACCCAGCCCGCTCCGCCACCGTGCCCGCCACAGGCCTTCCACGCCACGCTCGCCCTCCGGTCTCTGGTCATTATCGCTCTCCGGGTCACGCAGAGCTGCTCCCCTGCCCAGGGAGCCTCCACTACCCAAGCAGATTCCAGTCCGGGACTTTGGCTGCTTTGGAAATCGTGCTTTCCAGGCCAGACTAGCCGCAGCCTCCCCGGGGAGGCCGAGCTCCCAGACGCCTCCCCACCAAAGAAGCGACTGGCTCAGTGGCTGTGGGCAGGGGGGCTCCTCTGCCAGCGAAGCCACGCAGAGACAGCGGCAGTCCAGGGCGAGGGAAGAGCTGCAGTGGCTGTGCCGGAGATGGCGAGAGGGCTGGGGCAGGGGCGGCTGGCGCAGGGTCAGCCTCGGGAGCACGGGGATAGGTGGCGCCTTTGCACCGGACGTCCACAGTGGGTGCAGGGGCCACTTCCGGGTCCCCTGCACCCCAGAGGCTCACACGGCTGCTTTGGGCAGCATTCCCCTCGCCCAGGGCAGAGTCAGACCCTTAAGTGAAGGCTGCTTCGCACGCAGCCGACGTCGGAGGTCCTGAGCCTCAGAGACCACCCACCTCAGCTTCTGGCCGGAGAGAGCGAAGGTAGCTTTTCAAGTCCCCCTGCGTCATCAGCTCCATGATGACCAAGGCGGGCTGGCCCTGGGACACCACGCCGAGGAGACGGACCTGCGGCCAGCAGGGTGAGAGGAGAGCACCAGGCCCTCGTCGAGCAGTTCACGGGCCCCCCAGCACCCAGGGGCCAGCCTGCGCCTCGGGGCCCTCCTGCAGCATAGGCGCCGGCCAGCCGAGCTGCAAAGCCGGCTCGCCCTCAGCCTGCTTCCCAGGGCCCCCCTGGGGCTCCCACCCCGCTGCCGGCCAGACCCAGCCTGCAGGGCCGCCCTTACCACGTGGTGGCAGCGGAAGGCCTTCATGACAGAGGCCTCGTTCAGGAACTCGATCCGCTCCCTGGTGGTGGCCAACTCGTTGACCGTCTTCAGGGCCACCTTGGTCTCCCTGCCCTCCTCCTCCAGGTCCTTCGCCAGCCCCTCGTAGACCATCCCGAAGGAGCCCTGGCCCAGCTCTCGCCGGATCGTGATCTTCTCCCGCGGCACCTCCCACTCGTCCGGGATGTACACTGGCAAGGCAGCCCCCGGAGAGAAGGCTGACGCCAGGGGCCCGGCCACCAGGGGCCGGCTGGAGGGCAGCCACGGCCGGGCAGGTCCACGGCCGCCCCCAGCCCTGCAGGCAGGAGCCCCGGCAGCCAGGCCTGTCTGCCGCAGCCGCCCAGCGAGGCGTAGATGCCGCCGTGGAGGGAAGGCCGCCCGCACAGCCGGCTGGCAGAGCTCCAGAGCGAGCCACACTCACTGTTCGAGGTGCTGAAGTACTCCGGGTTGACCGAGGCGTAGAGTGTGCCGCTGGGGAAGCCCTCGGCGCTCCTGGGAGGGAAGGCCAGAGAGGCTGGGAGGGCGGCATGGGCCACGGCCGTGCAGGCACAGAGACCGACTCGGCATGGGACCCGCTGAGCAGGACCGGAGCCCATCCTCGCTGGCTTCGGTTCAGGGCTGGTGGAGGGGGAAGCTCTCCACCACTCCGTCTGAGGAGCGAGGGCCCCCTGAGCATGCCAGGCCTTCTCAAGCACCGCCAGCTCTCTGCCCCCGGAGCCTCGACGACCCTCCGCTCTGTCCTACAGAGCCACGGAAGGGGTGCCTGGACACGCCTGCCCCAGCCGTTGAATTGCGACCCTCGGCCTCGCTCTGAAAGCAGCTGTGTGCCCCCGTCCCCTCCAGCCAAGGGTGCAGGGAGAGGTGTGCTGGCCAGCAGCCTTCGCGAAGGTGCCACCTTCCCTCCGCGGTTGCCGCCACGGAGACCCCCAGAGCACCGCTTTGGCACAGGCACGGGCGAGGGCCTCGGCTCCGGCCCGCCCTTACCGTTTTTTGTTGTACAAAAAGACGACGACGGCCAGGCACGTGATGCCCACCATCAGCACCACGGGCATGAGTGTCAGGAGTGTGTAGACGTTCCCGGGCTCCTCTTCCTCTACTTGGAAGCCAGAGAGGGGAGGAAAGGCGCATGTGACTATCCCACGGCTGCAGCGCAGAGATGAACCAGCGGCCGGAAAGGCAGGAGCCTCCACGGGCTCCCTCAGCACATCTCCTGGGTGCTCCCCTGTTGCCGGCGGAGTTCACTCGCTGGAAACCGGTTCCCTTTACTGGCCAACACTCCGTGGCTGAGGGCACATTTTGGACTCCCGCCCAAGCACGTGATGCGTGTGCCCAATTGCAACGCCATCCTGACCTGAATCTTGGCCCAACACCCATCAGCCACCATAGCTGAGCAATGAGAAGCCCTCTCACTCACCCGGCCCAAGGATGTAAAACTTGATGAGCCCCGTCCACGAGCCGTTCCCGGCCAGGGAAGTGGCACGAACCTTGGCAGAGTAATTCCCCGGCTGGAGCAGAGCAAGGTGGTAGCCGCCGTACCGAGCATAGCGGTGGCGGGAGACACACACCACCGACACGACTTTCTGCATGGAAAAGCGGCACAGCATCCAGCGGTGCGGGGGGGCACAGGCACCAGCTTGGCGTTCCCCAGCCCCGGGCTGTGCGAATCGGTGACTGATGGGGAGCCAAATACGAAGAGGCGGGGGAGATGCACCCTCCCAAGCCTGTACGGGCTGCTGATGTCGTCAAAGGGAAGGCACCGGCTCTTTGCCAGGAAAAGCTGCCCCCCACCCCGCAGGACAAGGGTCGGTCCCCACCGGCGCCACGGCCTCCTCACCTCACTCTCCCGGCTGTACTTGATCTCATATTTGAGGATGAGGCCATTGGGGTTCGGGGGCTCCCCCCAGCGGAGCAGCACACTGTTCTTGCTGGCTGGCTCCCAGGTCATGTTGCCGGGGATGTTGTCCGCTTGAGCTGGCGGGGGAGCAGCACACAGCATGCCGAGAGCCAGAGGCCCACGGAGAGGTCGCCGCCGCCCTCCTCCCACCCAGCCCTCTCCCCAGTGCAGCCCACTTGGGATGGGCCAGGAAAGCCTCCGTCTCTCCCGCTGCCCCCGACCCCGGCTCGGCTCCGCACAGGACTGCCGGCTGCGGCACTTACGCTCCGGCATGGTCCTGGCAAAGACGAAGGTGGCGGCGCTGCAGCCCACGGTCTGCGCGGCGTGGTTGCAGGCGTGGATGTCGATGCGGTACTCGGTGAAGTGGCGCAAATGGGAAATGACTGTGCGGTCGCGGACCACCTTGTCTTCAAAGATGCGGAAGTCCCTCTCCAGCTTGGCGTCAGCCTCCGTGTGGTTCAGGGCGACTCCGTTGGCCAGGGTCTCCGGGGAGAGCATGCTGCCGGAGACGTGGCCCGCCACGGTCACGGCAAAGGTGTCCCTGCGCCTTTTTGGGACCCTGTTGCGGGGGAAGGAAGACGTGTGGCGAGAGGCCCCCAGGCAGAGGGCGGGCCTCAGGCAGGCCTGCTCAGCCCCCTGCTCAGGGAAACCCACTGCCTGGGCAGGAGCCAGCCCCGCCCCCCCCCCGCAGCGCCCCCAGGAGAGCAACTGTGGCTCAGCAGGCACAACAGGCACTGCGGGGCGGGCAGAGGAGGAGTCCCAGCGGCTGATCGTGGGAACAAGGCGCTCTCCTCTCCCCGCAAAGCGGACCGTTCTGTGCTGGCGAGCAGCACAGCCTCCACCTGCTGCTCCTGCACTGTGCCCCCGAACCTCTCCTGTGCAGAGGCCCAAGCCCCCCACGCACCCACCTGCCTGCTCAACCCGACGGGAGCGGCGCGGCCAGCGGAAGAGCCCGGGCAGAGCTCCCTCAGCCAGCCTGGCCCTGCCCAGCTGCCACCAATGGCCGCGACTCACCTGTTTGAGATCTTGTTGATAGACGTCACTTTCCAGGGGGGCCTGGGGAAAGACAGAGAGGGCAAGGGGCATGTCTCACCAAGCCCCCCCAAGTACAAGCCCCCCCCACGTCCCTCCACCGGGCCTGCTTCTGCTTGCATCGCAGGAGGGCAGCTCTCCGGCCCGCACGTGGGGGGCAGTCCTGCCGGCCAGCACCCTGCTCTGCCCCCGCTCGGATGAAGCGCCGCCAGGACGCGGGCCGCGGCTGGCCAGCAAGGCGAGCACCAGAGGGTGTCTGCCCATGGGCCCCTCTGACCATGCCACGAGTGCCCCCCGGGAGCCGCTCACCTGGGGATGATGATGGAGTTATGCAGGAAGTTCTCGAACTTCTTCTGGAAGGAGACGGTCTCCGTCTGCGGCTGGGCCTGCCCCACGGGGCTTCGGCACGGGCAGCACTGGTCGTCCGCGTCCCCCTCGGGGGCCTCCCTGCCATCCGTGTCAAAGCGGGTGTCCGCGCTGCTGGTGGGCAGGCGGAGGCCTGGCGGGAGGAGAGGGGCGTCAGCTACCGGCTCCGTGCGGCGCGGGACACGGGCCGCCCTGGGGGGAGCCCTACCTTTGTGGCAGTAATCGTTCACGAAGAGCTCTGCGTCCTCGGCCAGCTGCTGCCACAGCACCAGGTAGTAGGTGAGGTTGCCGTTGGGCTGGCTGGGCAGCTTCCAGCGCACGATCAGGTGGGAGGAGGAGTTGGACATGGAGATGACCTCCCGCGGCACCGTCGGAGCTGCCCGCAAGAGGCCGGCGTGAGGAGGACGCGCCGACGCACACGGCAGGCGCGGGCAGGCAGCGGGGCCGGCCTGGCGCCCGCCTGCGCCCTTTGCCCCGAAGGGCCAGCAGTCCCTCCGGCCCGTCGGGCCCAGTCCAGGAAGGACGGCGGGCCAGCCAGGCCAGGGCACCTCCAGCCTAGCACAGCCGGCCGTCTGAGTGGGGCCTCCTCAGCCGGGGCTGCTCAGAGGGGGGTGGAGCCCCCACGCCTACCTGCAGGCAGGGTGCGGATGTAGACCACCTTGCTCTGGGCCCCATAGTCGCGCCCCTCCTCAGCGGTGGTGAGCGTGATCGCCCGCACGAAGATGGCGTACTGTGTCCAGGGCTTGAGGTGCTGGAGGGTCACGCCGGGGTCCTGGTCGTTGTGCAGGGGCAGCTCCACGTCCACCACGTTCCAGCTGTTGGCCCCACAGGCGTCCTGCCCCACGTGCTCCGTCACGTTCTGGAAGGGCCTGCGGCAGAGGGGGCTGGCTGAGCACAAGGAGGCGGCCGCGGGCACGGCTGGCCGGGAACAGCCTCGCGCCCCAGCCCTGCGCCCCAGCCTCTTGTCGAGCTGCGCCACCACGCAGAAAACCCGGACGCAAAGCTCTGCGGGGACGCTGGGCGGCGGAAGGGCGCTGGAGCCGAGCCCACTGGCCCGGCCTCCTCTGCCGCAGCAGCTGGCCGGGTGCCCGCAGGGAGCCCCGCCAGCCACACACCTCCCCTCATGCCCCCAGCCGCTCGCCGCGCGGGGACACGTGGCCTCCCCTCTGGGGCGGGAGAGCCGTTGCCCCCCAGGAGGCACCCCCCCACTCGTTCCTCGGGGCAGAGGCAGCCTGGCCCTCACGATTCCTTGTAGTAGACAATGAAGCTGAGGAGGTCGCGATACTCCGGGGGCTGGTAGCGCTCCCACTTGAGGACGATGCGGTCCGACTCAGTCACGTTGGACACGAAGCGCAAGGTCTGGGTTTTGCCTGAAGAGGGAGAGAGCTCAGGGGAGCCCCAGGAAGGGGCAGGCGGGTGGCCCGTGGCCAAGGAGCAAACGCAGCTCCGTTTCTGGCCATGAATCAGGCATCAGAGCCCCCGTTTTCATGCATAAGAATAGAAACCCCCCAGAAGGCCCAAGAGGGGGCCAGAGGCTCCCCATGGCCCCTGCCGTCTCCAGAAGGATGGCGCGAGCCCCTCTGCCTGCAGGTCCACCGGGCCCTTGCGGCGTCCATGGCCGCCCCTCCCCGCTGCCTCCTCTCCCTCCCGCTGGGAGACTCACAAGACGCTCTGTCGCCGTTCGTGCGTGGGTTGATCTCGGCCTTGTTCTGCCGGCCCTTTGTGCCGGTGATCTCCTCCAAGCGGTAGATCTCGGAGAGGCAGAGCCGGGGGTTGAAGGCGAAGTACACCTTGCCCACCGGGATGGCGAGGGCGTGGTGGCGCCAGTCCCACAGCCGCTGCAGGTTCTGGTTGTCCAGCACGTACAGCGTGTAGTTCCTGCGGGGAGAGCGGGAGCGCGTGCCTGGGCTGCCCCGGGGCCGAGGGGGCTTCTTGTCCGGGGGCAGGAGGCGCCTTGGGGTGGTCTGTGTTCCCCGGTCAGAAGCGGCACCTGCGGGAGCCAGCATTCCCCGCTGGGCACGTCAGGACGGGGCTCGGCGCCGTTTCCTTCCCTGAGCACAGATCATGCCCCTCTGCATCGGCCCAACGGCCACCCGCGCGGCCAGCCGGGCCCGCACTCACCCGTCCACCATGGAGTCGCCCCGGATCAGCTTAAGGTTCCTGAAGAAGGACAGCGAGATGAGGGCGAAGGAGTGCTTGATCTTCAGGAAGCCCGTGATGGTCTCGATGAGGCCCAGGCTGCCCTGCAGGGCCGCGGCCAGGTTATCTGCAGGGGCAGGGCAGCCGTGAGTCCCAGCCCGGGGGGCCTTGGGGGGCGTCTCTGAGGGCAGGGAGGACGCGCAAGCCAGAAGGTGCTCCACAGCTGGACGGCCGGACGGGGACGGGGATGAGGCTCTGCGGAGGATCTGAAAGCCCGGGCCGGCTCCAGCTGGTTTTGGACCCCCATCCGGCCTCTCCGAAGCAACGCCTCCGTAAAGGCCCGGAGAGCCCCCTCTGGCGAGCACTTCCCGCTGCAAGAGGAGCGTCTCCCACACGCAACCGCCCTCGCCCTCGCCCTCGTCGCCCCAGTGGGCTCCACAGGGCCTTCAGGGGTGGGGGCAGCCCCCCGCAGCCGGACAGCCTCGCGTGGCTTTGGCATCTTTCTTGCTCCTGCGCGCAGATCAAAGGGCAGCCTGGCTCCGGGCCCCCCTGGAGAACAGACCCAAGACGGGGGTGGGAAGCCCTCCGAACCGCCACGGATATGTTGCATCTGGGGGTCCCCTCAAAGTACTGCTGGCCCCCCATTTACAGCCCTCCACGTTTTCCTGCCACTCAATGCGCCTGCCTTTCTTCTCTCCACGGAGCACCTCAAAGAAGGCAGCCGGAGGCCGGAAAGCTTGTGGCTGCACAGCTTCTTCGGAGCCACCCCTCCCTCCGCAGGGAGCCCCCCCCCCAAGGGCGCGGGCCACTCACCCCCCCGGCGGATGTTCAGGATCAGGTTGCCCTCGACAAGTGTGCAGCCGGCCAGGTCCTTGGCTGCCCGCGTGGAGTCGATGGTCTTGGTGCCCACCTTGCACTCCTTTGGACACAGCCCCTCACACTTGTGGCAGATGATGCTGCGGGGAGGGTGCAGACTGGGGCTGATGGGCCTCCTGGCGCCAAGGGCCGCTCCGCACAACTCCGGAGCACCCCGGAGCTGACCCAGATGGCTGGGGGCTGCTGGGGCATCCCTCCCCCAGCTCCTCCTCAGGGCTCAGGGCCCAGCCAGGGACCGGTAACACCCTCCAGGGCCAGACCTCCCTGCTCCCTCCCGGCAACCAGGCACCCGTCCTGGCCCAGGGTCCATCCTGCAGGCAGGCCCCAAGGAAGCGGCCGCCTCCAGAGCCAGCTCTGGGCTCGGCCTGAGCCTGCCCGGGAGCTGGCGGGCGAGGGGGCCCCCAGGGGCACCCCACTCTCCGGTCCACATGGGCCGGGGCTTCCTGCTGTGAGTGCCGCCCGGAGACCCCCGAGCAAGGCGCCGGAGGGCCAGAGACGCCCGCGGCTCACCTGCTCTCATTCCTCCTGTAGCCAGGCGGGCACTCGGCCAGGCACTGCCGCTGGTGGATGACGAACCGGGAGGCGTCGCGCGGGTTCTCGGACACCTTGCGCAGGCTGGCGCAGTGCTCGGCCGTCACGCAGCGCCAGCCCTCATACTCGTAGGCCAGCTCGGGGCAGGCGCGCAGGCAGCGGCCGTTGAAGTCGAAGTGGCGGCAGGCGGTGCAGGCCCGCGGGTCCCGGGCCCGGCTGCAACCGCCCAGGCACTCTGGGTGGCAGCACTCGGCCCCGCCGGTGCAGGCGCCCCCCGCGCCCCCCGCGCCGCAAGGACACACTGCAGGGAGGAAGCAGAGCAGAGCGGGCGTGGGCGGGGGGCCGGGGGGTGCGGCCGCCCCAAGGCTCGGCACCCACGGGCACCCGGGTGGCTTCCCCAGCGTGCCCCAAGAGTGGGCCGGAAGGACCCTTCACGGAGCAGGAGAGGGAGCCCCGCTTGCACCGCCTGGCAGCCGAGCGCGGCGGCCAAATTGGCACAATTTCTTGTGGCGGGTGCTTTCTGCAGCCGTTCGCAACACCGGGAAGGTGCCTGTCCTCTTAGGCCAGGAAAACTGGGACTTCCCCAGGCCTTAGGGATGCTACGGCCACAGGATTGCCGCAAACTCTCGGCACGGGGAGGGCATCCATCGCTGGCAAAAGAGAGTCTGCACCGGCTCTCTGCGTTCGCCCCATAAATGCGCACGCCAGAGGACCTGGCTCCCTCCTGCCTTTCACATCGGGATCCCCCAGCAGCCGGCTCGTGGGTCCTTCGCCCAGCCAGCCCGAGCCCGAAGGCATGTGCGGCACTCGCGATAAGGATCAGTCTGTTTGCGGTGTCTGTTTCATGAGCCAGCCTTTGTTTACACCAAACGGCCCGGAGGAGCCTCACGCGCAGCACGAGCCTCGCACGGGGCAGGGACCCTGCCACGGAAGGCAGCTGGCCTCCGAGCCGAGCGCGAGCGCGACGCGCCTGCCCGAGCGCCCCCTCGGGCCTTCCCCTCCACTGGCAGGCGCTGCCGCCTTCGCGGCACTTCCACACGGCTGCGCAAGAGGCTCCAGCAGGGCCCAGGCCGAGCGGGCGTCCCTGGACCTGGCCGTGCAGTGCGCCACCACGCTGCACGGACCCCGGATGGGCAGCTGCGCCCCGGGATGCCATGGAGGCCAATCCAAGCGCGGGCCAGAGGAGGGCTGATCTGGCTGCTGCGGGCGAGCGGCCCTCGGCGAGGATTCCCAGATCAGGGGCTTGGGAAGCCGCTCTGAGGAGGGCCAGAGAGGAGGGGGCATGTTGCCCCCGTGCCCAGGCGGGGAGGCCCTGGGGGGCCCTAATGAACCGAAGCCCCCTGCCCCCCACCCCGCTCTCCCCTCTGGACTAGTTCCCTTCTTGCAGCTGGACCCTAAAAATAGACTCTGTGCACTCCAGAAGTAGAACACCTGCTTCCCAACAGCAGTTTCTCTGTGTAAACACAACTGAGAACAAAGTTTATTGGGTTCTTGTTTTGAGGAGGCTTACAGAGAAGTCCGCGGCTGGATCTCGCCAGTCCCATCCCAGTGCAGCTGGGCCGAGAGCCAGACCGTGGCACCGGGCCGGCGGCTGTGGGGAAGGCTCAAGGACTCCCCGCGTGCCCCAGAGAGGCGAGGGGGCCCAGCTCGAGGGCTCCTCACACGGACCGTCCAGAGGCACCGCGGGCGCCTTGCTCATGTTTGGTCCCTCTCAACCTGAAGCTGCCGTGGAAAAGCACGGAGGAGCCACGGTGTGAGGACGGCACGATCTGGAATCGCGACAAAGGCTGTGAACACAACCCTGATGGTGCACCAAAGCAGGCGCAGGGACCAGGCACAGCCCGAGAGGCGAGAGCCAAGCTCGCTGAGGGTGTCGGATGCGTCCGGGGGTCTGGCGGGGCACCGCAAGGCCTCCTCCGCTCCCCCACCTCTACTGCTCGCGCTGTTCTCTGCTGTCTGCAGCTGAGACCCGGATGCGTTCGAGCTGCAGCTTTTTTGTAATAACTGCATCCAAACTCAGGGCAAGATGCTCAGTATATTAAGCATCCTTACTGTACCTCTTAAGATAAAAGCACCAAACAGGAAGCTCTGTCGGCTGCCCCCACCTAGGCCCTTCAAGCCAGCTCAGCCTGAAGCAGCCGTTCCCCTCTGGGGCCTGCTTTGCCTTCTCCTGGGAGGGTCCCCTGGCTGCTGACATGCACAAACCTACAATTTCTGGGGCCTGGAGAACAAGCAGGTGTGGCTATGCAGGTCCCCGTGTCGCTTTAGGGTTGCTTTCGACCTGAAATGGGACACGTTCTCTCTCTCCTTCGCCTCAGCCATTGCTCTGCTGTGCAGCTGCCTCGTGGGGGAACCCGAGGGAGAGGCACCGGACTATCTCAAGGAGTAAATAAAATATCGGCGCAGGCAGGAAGGGACAGCACAGGGATGGGGGGGCACCTTCTGGGCTACCTGCCGGCCTTACGTGGCCACTGGTGCGGGGCAAGGACCCTCCCAAAGCCCCGTGACAACCGGCACTGCCCCCCCCCCCCCCGCCCAGCCCAGCCACGGACCTTTCTGGCAGTTGCTGGAGGTCCAGCAGCGGTACTCCAGGGGCCCCTTGAGGCTGGTCTGGGTCTGGACGCAGGGCTTCTCCACGTCCAGGATGCCCGGGCACACGTCGGCACACTCCTCCGCTGGCTTGTTGTGCAGGATGATGTTCTGCTCGAGGGGGTGGGGCGGCTGCAGCAGCCCCCAGTCGATGGTGGAGATGTGGCAGAGCTCCTGGTTGCGCTCGATGCGCACCGACCCGTTGAGGATGTTGGTCAGGCTGTGCAGGCCGATGTCTCGCAGGTGCGGCATCTCGAAGATGACCAGGGCGTAGTTGAAGAAGAGACTGGTCCCCCGGATGACCGACAGGTTGGGGAAGAGGTCCCGCAAGCTCTCCAGCCCGTAGACCCGGAAGAGCAGCAGGTACTCTGTGATCATGACCAGGCGGGGGAAGCTGAGCGGCCGGAAGTCCTCGCTGCTGGTGGTGAACATCAGCAGGATCTGCAGGCTGCCCTCCACGATGGTGCAGTTCTCCAGCTTCCGCAGCTGCGAGGGGTCCATGCGGATGTCCAGGCTCCCGCAGACTGCGGGGGGAGAGGGCAGGGGGAGACGGGGAGGCGTCAGGGCGGCACGGCTCCGAGGGGCGAGCAGCGCCACGTGCCCACGGCTGACTGCACAAAGCAGGAGCTGAGCGTTACTGGACTGAAAGCATCCGATGCGATTTAAAAAAAATTAAAGTACCTCTAACACACTTAGGGCATTTGGGTTGATTTCCCGGTGGCACTGCCTCTCCGTCCTGGCCAAGTCCTCGGCCCAGCGTGCCCAGATGCCACGAAGCCCGGAGCAGGCCCATCTCCGCACGCACGCCTGCAGCCGGCACTGCCGGGAAGCGGCGGCACGGGGCAGAGCCGTTTCCGCAAGAGGAAAAACCCAAATGTGCGGTGGGAAACTTCGTTTTCACGAGACGGGAAGAGTTTGGGGCCCGGGCGAGAGTTTTCTTTCTTGGCTTGCTTGTTCGCGTGTTTGTTTGTTTTTCTACTTGAATGCTACTAACTATCCCGATAGCAATCACTTTCCTGAACAGCATAACCCTATTTGTTTCTACGTTAGAGGAAAGGGAGCATTGGCTTGAGGATGGTCCTCCAGAACCTGATTTAAGACAGAAATGCTTGCTGAGAACGTGGCCGGCCCCTGCTGCTCTCCACGGGAGACAGCGCTGGCAGGACTCTGGCCCGCTCCCGGGAGATGCAGGCAGCCCTGCCTGCCCCCACCCCTCCCGGGGCACTGATATTTACCCAGGGAAGCAGCGGCTGCTGCTTTCCCGGCTGCCCCGAGGGGCACATGCGTCGCCCCAGGGCGGCACGGCAAAGAGACACATCTGCCGGCTTCCCAGAGAGTGGGACGGCGCTCTCCGCCTCCGCCGCCCTCCTGGCATTCGCCAGCGGCAACCAGCAAAGCAGCCCCGCTTGCCCACACACACACACACGGGGGGGGGGGCGGCCTGCTGACTGGCCCCCTCCCCGCATGCCCCTCGCCTGCCTGAGGGCGATGCAGCATCTGCCGTTCTGCCTCTCCAGGCGGCCAAAGCAGGGTGGCCCTGGAGCCAGGAGCCGTCATCTGCCGCAAGCCCACCCATGCGCCCCGCTGTGCCAGCTCCCTCGCCTGTGGCGACCTGTGAGGGGGGTCACGGACCCTCCAGCTCCGCCAGGGCCGTGCCGCTCCAGCCCGTGTCCTACAGGCACATGTGAGCGTGAAACCTGAAGCCAAAATATCATCTCAGGAGCAACTTCTCAGCTCGAAGTGCAATTTACTATAAACACCGGGGCAAACGCCATCACCTGAGAGCCAACCCCAAACAGTCCACCTGGCAACAGGAGCTGGCAGCTGGGCCCTTTCGGGCCTCACGGGGTGGAGGGAAGCCCACGAGGGGCACCGCGGGTGCCGGGCAGCCTGGCCGGGCCTGGCCGAGCGGGGAACAGGCGGATCCCCTGGAGGGGAGCCCCTGCCCGGGCCAGCCAAGCCCCCACCGGGCAGGGGCTTCCCTCTGTCGGGTGCCGCATTCCCTTGCAGGCTGTCCCCCAGCCTTGAGCAGACACCCCCTTGCCTCCCCCCCCCACCCCGCTTGCTCTCCCCACTGTCTGCAGGACAGAAGGTGAGGGAGCCAGCTGTCCCGCCCCATCCCACGAAGCCGGCCGTGTCCTCCAGGGCTGCACCGGGGCCTTCCCAGCCCGCCTCATGGCATTCGGGGCAACCCTTCAGGAGACACGGAGAGCGCAAGGCGCTGTAGGGCTGCCTGAACGGGCCTCACCCACTTTACACCCGATTCAAGGGCTTCAAGGCCCATCAGCCCCGGTGAGCAGGACCCATGGTCCAGACTGCCGGAACCACTGCCCAAATGTGTGGGGGGTCTCAGCCTCACGGAGCTGATCTTCCCATCCGCGCAGAAGGGCCCACCAGCGCATGAGCCATGCCCTCAGCCCGGCCCGGCCACCTGCCCCACCTCGAGGGCCGCTCGGTGGGCACCTGGCCGTGCTGCTCCAGATTTTTTTCCCCGACAGAAGAAGGAGCCGTCTAAGAATCCTGACATGGGCAAAGGGCGAAGGCAACTCGTTGGAAGCCCCTTATTATACCAGGCAAATCAAATGCAAGACCTGGGCTCTCCCTCGGCACACTGGCGCATCCCTTCTGCTGAAACCAAACCGGTTTCCCCTCTGCGCCAGGTGAGCCCTCTTGCCTCTTCCGTCCTTCCCACAGAGCCGGTGCCACCCTCACGTCTGAGCACTTCTGATGCCTCCAGTCTGATTTAATTCCAGCTGCAATGCCTGCATTAGCTCCTTGGAACAGCAAAGGCTGCAGAGCGAGACCACGGAAGGCTTCCCCTGGGCTCCGCCTGGCCGGCCAGTCCTTTGCGCAGCCGCTCCCTCCCCAGCCTCTGCCGGGACAGGGAGGGGTGTGGCACCTCGGTGCCTCCCCAGACGCAGGCGGCCTGCCACAGGAGCTTCCGTGCCGCGCGCGGAGCCGTGCCCGTGTGGGGGCCGAGCGGGCGGGCAGGCAGAGGCCTGGGAGCCGTACCGGGCAGGCAGCCTTGACCCACCCAAGCCGGCCGCGCCCCGGGAAGACATACCTTCTGGGGTGACCGGCTGAGGGCCCAGCCAGAGGAGGCTGAGGAGGAGCAGGGCCCCCCAGGGGCCCCCCATGCCCCTCTGCGCCTTCAGTCCCCCCGTCCCGACGGGCCCGGCTCCCGAGGGCGAAGCTGAGTGCGGCAGCCTAGCCTGCCAGCCGGGCGCCACGCTCATCCGGACGCAGCCATGGCTGCGCTGCCTCTGCTCTTGCCGACCGACCGGCGGCTGCACGGCGCACTGGGCGAGGGAGCACCCGGGCCGGGGCAGCCACCTGCTCCTGCGCCTCCGTGTGCCGAGGAGGCTGCTGGCGCGGCAGGTCGACCGGCAGGGGGGCGGGGTGGGGCCAGCCCCTCCGCACAGCCCCACGCCTTCCCGCCAAGCAGCGCCTCCCAGGCGGGGGCCCAGACGGCCGCCCGAGGACCATGCGGCCACGGCTGGACCAGTTCCAGCGGTTGTTTTCGAAGGCTGCTTTCAAAATATTTAGCCTGAAAACTGAAGCAGGATGGGCTTGGCTGAAGGGACCAGCTTGTTGGGGAAATAGGAAGGGTGGCTGGGGGAGCCGCAAGGCTGGAGGGGCAGGGGCGCCGGGGCAGCTGGGGCAGTCCCCTTGCAGGAGGAAGAGAGCGGGCCGCTCGCCCAAGGGGGGCAGCAGGGTGGCCGGAGGTGGCCCAGGCCGCGGTGGACGAGCAGGAAGCAGGCAGACCCGAGGGGGGAGCAGGCAGGGAAACAGGGGGAGGGCCTTGGGAAGAAGGGACAGGCAGTCTGCGCCTTCTGCTGGCATCGCACTCTTTCCCTCCCTCCGCTCCAATTCGGCTCGGCCTCAGGGGGCCACATCATGCCAGGGCTGATGGGAGGTTCGGGGGCTCGGTGCTTTGCTGGTGCTCAGCCGGCAGCAGAAGCGGGGGGACAGTCGAGTGTCTGAGGTAGGAGGTGCTTCCCGTGAGCAGCTGGGCCACCATGGGAAGGGAATGCTGGCCGGGGTGGCCCGGGCCAGATCCAGCAGGGCTCCCCCCCCATTTGGCGACTAGCGCCCTTGCGCTTTTGGCTTGCCTGCCACCTGCGGCAGCACCCCTTCCTCCTCCAGGGGGTTTCATGGGCCGTGGGGAAGCACGCATCCGCCCAGCTGCTTCCTCTCCATCTGGGCTGAAGGCAATGCTGGAGCAATCAGAAGACCAGATATTGGGCAGTGGGGCTCTGATTTCCAGCTGTCAGGGTAAATATAGTCCCAAGACGTTACATGTTGATCTACACTAGGACAAAAGTGAGTCCGGGGAGTGGGTGGGCAGTGGCGCCACCTGCACACTCTGCCACGCCAAGGGGGCCGCAGACCCCCCTACCGTGTCCCTCGGCCCCTCTTCCGCCCAGCGTGCTATTTAGCCACTCCAGGACACTCCTGGGGGGGCACTGGGGACGCTTTGGGGGCCACTGATGTGTGGCTGACATGCCCCTTACTCTTGCGCTGGGCAGGTTGCCACGCTCTTGGCATATCCCGAAGAAGGAACGGGCTGGGCATGGGCTGACCTGTAGACGCCTCCCTCAGGTTCGCGTGAAGGCCAGCAGTGCAATGAGGAACTCGAGAGCCCGGCAGGATCGGGCCCTCCTGCGCGATCGCAGCCTGGGAGCCCGTCGCGCAGCTTAACCTCAGAGGTGAACATCGGTGCCCTCTTGTGGCCACTTCCCCGCACTGCAGCCTGCTCTTTTTAGCTGCCCCAAGGAGTTCGGCGTTGAAACGAGTGGCCAGTGTCGGACACTACGGCCTCATAATCCCGTGAGCAAAGCTTACACCTCAGACCTGACACTGGGACGCCCTCTCAGAGCCAAAATTCCCTTACCCTTTTAGGAACTCATCTGTAAAATTCGTGTCGTCCACTGCTACCTGTTCTTCCCCATAGCACAGTTAAGGCCTCCAGGCTGAAGCCGGCATTTTCCCATGGGAACTGCAGACTGCTGTTTGCAATTTATAGACGCTTCGCAGCTGGGATGCCTCCTGGTTGTCAAAACGGCATGCTGCGCCCTTAGGATCCCACCTGCTTTACCGGAGACTTTTGACTGGCCCTTGGGCGCCCTCCTGTGTCCATCTTGGAGCACTGCAGCCGACCGGCAGCTCTGAGCTGCCCATTAAGGCAGCAGCCACGAAATTGGGGTGCCATCCAGGGACGGTAATGGGCACGGGCCGATTCTCTCGCGGGCCCGCTCAGACCCCGCGCTCTGGAGCGCCATCTGGGGCCCAAACGCTGTGCGACGGGGTTTTGCGTCGAAGCGGCTACTGGGGGGCACCCCTGCTGCCCAGGCTGGGCACAGTGGCCAAGAGCGCGGAGGTGCGGAAGCCCGAGCGGGACCACCGTGAGGGGCCGGGCGAACCCCGTGCCCACACTGCTCTGCCGCGATGCGCTGCACGGGGCAGGCGGGGACCCCAGGCCGGCAGCGGCACCCCGGCCAAAGCACACGCCCCCGGCACAGCCGCTCCGGGGTGCCCTCGTGTGGCCACCTCCGCGAACTGCCGCCTGCACCGCCCCGCCGCCCGGCGCCAGCAGAACGTGAGCCGACGCCGCCCCGGCTCCCGGAACGGTGCGCGGCAGCCCGAGGGGCCCCTTCCCTCGGCTGTTGGCTCACAGCGGCCGCCGGGCTCCCCTCGTGCGCCTCGGCCTACTTTCGCTGCCGAAATCCTTGCTCTGCCCGCCCCCCCGGGCGGTTTCCGATGCGCGGCAACCACGCCAAGGCGGCTCTGCAGTGCCCTCCTGTGGCCGAACTGGCGCGGAACAATTTGATCGGCGCCTCGCCGCGGCTTGCACTACGCAAGCGCGGTTGGGGTGCCCTCTTGTGGCCACCTCCGGTGATGCAGTGCCCGCGGCCCGAAGTGTTCGCAGCAGCCGAAGGGGCTCCTCGCCACTTTTCTCTCAGGGGATCTATTGGGGTGGCCGCCCGGAGCCGAATGCGTGTGGGGCAAAGCCGGGGGCTTTTCTTACAGCCTCACGGGGGCTTTCTCCACACAAGGGCTCTTGTGCTGCCGTCTTGTGGCCACCTCCTTGTATTGCAGTCGGGCTGCCCGTAGCCTTGCTTGGGCACATTGCCTCACGGGCGCCCTCCGGCGGTCAAAGTGTTCCAGCACGCAGAGGGCACCGCTGCTTACCTGTCCAGGTGCCACCGTGGCCCCCCCATGTGTTCTGGGTTGTGCTGTGCTCCGCTGGACGCAGCCAGCTTGTGGCCGCAGGTCAGTTTGGCATCCAAAGGGGTGCCTCTGCCAGGCTTTTGGGGTGCCGTTGTGTGGCCTCCCCTGAGCACTGCAGCCTGCCCTGCGCTGGCGCTCTGTGTGGACGCAGACAGTGAGCCCGGCATGCGCTCTGTCGGGGTCCTGGCCCCCCGTGCCCTCTCCTCTGTCCTTGCTGCCGGTGATGTGGGCCACCTGCCCGGGGCAGTCCTTGCAGCCCAGTCCCTCCTGGCACTCCATGGCAGCCCCCTCCCGCCGGATGGCCACATCATCTGTATAGCAAGGAAAGCCATGTTCTCTTCCCACAGCCCATGAGACGAGGAGAGCAGAGGGCTTCTCCATAGCCAGCTCGGGGGGGGAACGGACAAGGGGAATTCCAGTGCAACATTCCATGCCTTTGTCCCTCAGGGACTGACCTGCTTTTTCTCGAATACGGTTCAATAAAACACAAAACAGACACAATGCAATAGAAAAGTCACACAGTATATTTTCTGAAAATATATTAGAGCATTAAGATCGGCCAGGCAGTTCCGTAAGGCTTTGCTTGACCTGCTCCCCAGAGAAAGGGAGGCGTCCATTCCCAAGCAGCGTGGGACGGGCAGGGAAGGGTCTGCAGTGAAGAGCCCTCCCAGCTGTACCAAAAGGCAGCCGTGGCTCACCGGAGGCCTCCCCCCGAAGTGCCAAGCGCCACGGGGTGGGTGCAGGGGCTGCGGCTGTGCCGGCGGGGGACGTGGGGGGGAAGGCGGAGGGCCGCTGTGCCAGCCGTGAGCAGGAAGCAGGTCTGCCCCAGGCGTGCCCCACAGCCTCCCCGCGACATGAAGCAAGGACCCTGCGCTGGCCACGGAAGGCCGGAGCCTCTTGCGCTGGAGGCACCATCCAAGGCCGGCCGGCCTGCGTCAACTCTCTGCCGACCGATGAGCCAGACCCTGGGCCTGGGGGATCAGGAGCAAATACTCCTCCGCCGCCGGAGCAGGGCCACGGGGCTGCCAGCACCGTCCTCCTGGTCACTCTCGCAATCGCGCTGTTTGGGGCAGAAACACCAAGGTGAAGGCATGGGCTGTGGGGGGCCGTTTGGGGGGCAACAGCCCCCTCCGAGGGATGCTGAATCGCAGCAAAGGGAAGGGCAGCCCCACTTCCACGGGGCAGAGCAATCGCTGCTCCCCCGGAGGCAAAATGCCCGTCGCCACCCAGGAAGTGGCACCCACCAGGTCCTCCTCTTCCGCTCGCCTCTGCTGGCACAGGAGGTGCATGCGGCACAGCCGACTGCACGCCGACACGATGTTGTAGGAGAGCTGCGGGGACAAGCAGAGACAGGGCGGCGGCTGGCAGGCGCCGCAGCAGCCCCAGAGCACGAGCCGCTCTCACGGCTGAGCCACGCCAGCTGCCCGGGGGACGCCGAGGCGTGCCGTGGCCGCTCTGTTTACCTTCCACTTCCGGCGAGCGTTGAACTTGCGGAAGTTCTTCATGTTGATGGAGGAGCGGCTCCGGTTCACGGCCTGCCTCTGATTCAGGGGCTGGAGTGGGCAGAGGCGAGGCCGCCGCGTCAACCAGACTCCGGAGCACTGGCCCTTTCCTCTGCTTGCTCATGCCAAGATAGGCGGGGGCAACGCCCCGACGGGAACCCCGGAAAGGAGGTGTGCGGCGTGGCCTGCGGACCCCTTCCCCACTTTGGTGCTCTCCGGATGTCGCGGGCCACAGCTCCTGGCCCCCCGACCCTTGGTCTTGCTGAGAGAGTGGAAGGGAGTCGTGGCGCCAAGCGTCTGGCGGGGACCAGGCTGGCGAGGGTGGCTTAGAGGCTGTGCTTGGGAGAGCCGGCTCGGACCGGCCCCCTGCCCACAGGCGGCCTGCATGGAGGGTCACATGGCCTCTGGAGGGCCGGTGAGGGGCTGCGGCCAGAATCTGCAGTGACGGCCGTCCTCTGTGCCAGAAGCCCCTTTCCACGCATCGTGGGCAGAGCTGTGGGACTGCCGCCCCTTCCAGTCTGGCCCGGCCCGATCTTACCTTGATCCAGGGGTGGCTGAGGCACTCGACCACCGTCATCCGGTTCCTGAAACGCAAGAGAGTGCTTCCTTGCTCACGCCGAACCCTCGTCTGCCATGGCCCCACACAAGGGCAGCCACGGGCGAGCGGGCAGAGGCGGCGGTCTGGAGGCCAGGCTGGGCTCCCTCCCAGGCCCCGTCTGTCTGGCAGCCACAGCAGAGGGGAAGGAAGAGCCGCTCGGAGAGGCGGCCCACACCAGGCGCCCTCTGACAGCCGCAGAAAAGGAGAGGCGCTCCTGCACGAGCTGGGATGCCTCGCGCCGAGCGCTGCTCCAGCTTGTGCCCCTGTGGCCGCAGGACAGCCGGCCCCACTGCGGGCAAGCTGGGGCCGAGGCGGCCTCACTTGAGCCCCGTGCCTGGGCTGGCCGGGCGCACCAGGATTCCCCAGAAAGGCGCTATGGGACATTTTACCCTGGCTCCTTCACCAGAAGCTGCTGGATGAAGTCCTTGGCCATGTCGGAGGTCTGGCCAAAGTACTTCTCTTCAAACTCATAGTTGCCGGAGACGACGTTGGAGAGGGTCTCTGTGTCGGTCTCGCCCTGGAAGGGGGACATGCCGCTCAGCCTGCAGGGAACAAGTGGAGAAGGGGATCAAACGAGCAGCACGAAACATGGAAGATCTATTTAAACATACGATGACAGCAGCTAGCATCACGAGGGCAGCAAAACGGCAAGCAAAAGACCGCACTACCGGGGAAGATTTCAAAATAAACTGGCAGAACTCACGGGACAGGCAAAACTAACCAGCTATATGAGTGGAAGACTGGCCAAATAATTTAAAAATAAATAGGAAGCTTATTAGATTAGATATTTTGACTTAATAGTTGGGAAAAATATTATTTACAGAAAAGAAATCTGTTGCTATTTGGTATAATTAAAAAAAAAAGTTTAGCTATTTTGGTAGAAGGTTTGGAACTGATAGAATCCAATCCAAGATACAAAAACATAGTCTTAATTGCTCAGTGTTAGAACATTAGGAAGTGTAACATTAAAAACATTGTCTCCAAAACAAAAGTATTATAAAGTCCACACTGGAAGCAATTGTACACATTTAAATCTGGGATATTAAAATGTTATGATAAAACACTTCTCACAACGGTTTCATGTATTTTAAGCCTTAGAGGGGCTTAAAACAGTTTCATGTATTTTAAGCATCAGTTTTGCAGATGTGTGCAGCTGCAGATCAGCATTACCCCTAAAAAAGAGTAGGAGAAATGGAGGATGATGATCACAGCTGGATGGAGGCGCTAAACCTTGCCCTCTGCTTCATGCAGCCATTGCCAAGGGAAGGGAAGGCCTTTGCCCCTCGCAGACTCCCCGCTCTCCTGTCCCCTGTGCTGTCTTTCCGTCTTGCTCGCTTCTCCAGAATGTAATGGATTCTCCACATGCATTACAAGCCTCATCAAAGACCCCGCAGGAGCTCCAGGCCCCGAAGCATGTGCGGAAAGGCCCGGGTACTTACAAGATGTACGTGATCACTCCGATGCTCCTAGGAAAGGGCGAGAGGCAGGCAGAGTCAGAGGAGAGCAACGCGGGCTCCTCAGGCGCAAGGCTGGCAGGCCCTCGACGAGGTGGGGGCCGTCCAGATGGTGAACGGGGTGCTGCGCCCACGAGATACGTGCCCAGTGAGGGGACACTGCTGGACGGGTCGCCCAAGGAAGGCTTGACGGACGGCGGGAAGGGCAGGACGGGGACTTCCAGCCCTGGGGAGAGCTCGGGCAGGCTCCCCCCTGCAGTGCGTGCTGCAGGAGAACCAGCCGGGGCGGGGGAGACAGGCCCTGCCTAAAGGTGCTGATGGGGGTGCGGGAGCCCTGGGCGGGCGCTTCCTGGGAGAGCTGGAACGCGAAGAGGACAAGCAGCCCGTGCTCTTCACCACGCCACCCAGTGAGGACAACGGACACCGCTGCCATCGCCAACAAGTGAAATGGGAAGGGAGTGGCGCCCGCCCGCCCCTCCTGCAGGCACGTGCTCCCGCATGCAGGCCTGGTGTCGGGGGCGCGGAGGGCTCAGGCCGAGGGCTTTTCTCTGCCGCTTACCACATGTCAGTCGCTGGGCTCAGGGCCTCGTAGTTGATCACTTCAGGAGCTGCAGAAGACACGGGGAAGGGAGCATCAGGCAGGGGTCGTGGTGGGAGCTCAGCGGCACCCTCCCCATCCTAGACGTGGCTGGACACGGACGAGCAGAAGCACGTGGAACGGGCCGCCCCCCGGCCCCAGCTCATCTGCTCCCACACGCAGTCTGAATAACTGCCGGACTTGCCGGAGTCCCTGAGCTGAGCTGGACAGACTTCCAGGTGACCCAACTCACACGGAACGATGTGGGTCAGTGGCTGCATCCTGCCGCTGCCCCAGGTGGGCTGGTCTTCTGCACGCAGGGGCATGCAAAACACAAGCCGACAGCATGGGAGGTTTGCCCCAGCCAAGTCGGTCTGTGTGTGGCCCGGTGGAAAGAGGCCGGCACGTTGTCCTTACGGAAGCAGGTCCCTCCCGGCGTCCCCCCAGAGCACTCTCCGCTGCCAACAACCATTGCCAAACTACAAGACAAGCCTTCTCACTTGGGCCCCCGAGAGAGGAAGGGACCCCGGCGGGCTCAGCACTCACCAATGTACTGCGGGGTCCCACAGAGGCTTTTGAAGGTCTCCCCTTCCTCCAGCTTTTGTGCCAGGCCGAAGTCAATGATCTTGATCTTGGGGTTGGGGACGTCTTTCTGGAGCAGCATGATATTCTCGGGCTGCAGAAGAGAGCGAGGCCTCAGGCGGTGCCAAGGCACCTCCGGGCCCTAGGAAGGCCCCGGCGCACACAAGGGCCTGCACCTGGCCCCTGAAGGCCGAGGGGGTGGGAGGCCAAGCCGGGGGCCGCTCAGGGGACGGGACCTTGAGGTCGAAGTGGGCGATGCGGTGGGAGTGCATGTGTGCCACCCCCAGCAGGATCTGCTGCAGGAACCCAACGGCTTCCACCTCGGTCAGCAGCTCCTTCTCCGCGACGAAGTCGAACAGCTCTCCCCCCTGGATGCTGAGGAGAGGCAGAGCAGAGAGGGACGGGGCTCACACAGCCAGCCCCGCGGGGCATGAGGCCGTGCGGGCTGCCCCATGTCCCTCGCCTGGGCCCGAGGGGCCACAGGCAAATCCAGGCTGGCTCACGCAAAGGCAGCGCTCTTCCCACCCACAGCTCCAGGCCAAAGGCTGGCCACTTCGTGCCCTTGGAAACGCCACACGAGCTGAACTGGAGGCAGCGGGCCCCCGCCCCGCTGCCTCGCAGATGATCGGAAACGGCCGGCAGCACTCACAGCTCCAGGACCAGCACCATCTCGGCCCTGCTGGCGAAGATGTCGTAGAGGCGCATGATATTCGGGTGGCGCAGCTGCCGCAGGATGCAGACCTCGCGCTCTACCTGCTCGCGTTCCACGCCCAGCCGGCTCCCCTTGCGCTTCCGCACCTTCACAAGCTTGGCTGCATAGAAAGCACCGGTGCTCCGCTCCCGGCACCGTTTCACCACACCGAAGTGTCCGCTGGATGAGGAGAGGCAAGCAGGCGCTACCAGGCTGGGAAACGCCCCCAGGACTCCAAGCAGGCTTCCCCCACTGGTCCGGGGCAGAGAGACCCTTCCCCTGTTCCCAGGATGCTAAGGAGGGCTGACCCAGAGCAGCTGACCGGCAGGAGGTTCAGCAGGGCCATGTGGACCTCTGTGCCCACACGTTACAGGGTCTGCTGCCTCAAAGAGGGGGTTCTGGGAGATGCCGGGCACAGAGGAAGCGGCCAGGCCCCTTCCAGCCCACGCCTGGACACGTTGGCTGAGGCGTGGCTCCCCCTCCAGGGCTGCAGATCTTCCTGCCCTGCCTGGGACGGCTGCCACGCCTGGCCCCGGGACCCTCTGCAGGCCAGGCGGGGTGCTCCCGTGCCGCCGCAGCCCTTCCCCTGGAGCGCCACACTAGGGAAGAGTGCCAGCCCACCAGAGCCACTGGCCATCTTCCCCGCCACCACTGCTGCCGCCGTGGCTCTCCCCACCCCGGGAAGAACCTCTGGCCCTAGAAGGGGCTGCGGCTGGCGGAAAGTGTCTCGGAGGCGTCTGCCTGCCCCCGGGGACACAGGATGCTGCTGGGCTGGTGGCACCTCCGGCCCGTCCCCAGAGAAAGGCCCCCTCCAGCTCCTGGGACTCTAACCTCAACGCCAATCCTCAGGGCAGATGCCGAAGGAGTTCCAGCCCCCCGCCACCCCCCGCCCCACTGTGCCCAGGGCCTTACCTGCCCAGCTGCTCCAGCAGCTCATAGAGCTCCTCCACGCTGCCATCGTGGAAGGCTGGCACGGAGGCCGGGCCGGGGCTTTGCACAAAGACGTTGTCGTCGTCGTCGTCGTCCTCCGGGCTGCACGATGCCTCCTGCGGAGCGGGGGGAGGGCGCAAGGGGGGCTGAAGCCACAAGTCTCCCCCGTTGGCCCTGCCGCTTCCCGCCAGAGCCAGCTGGGACCAGCCGGGGCCCATGGTCTTTCCCGTGCTTTGCCCACGCTGCTCTCGCACAGGCTGCGTGCGACTGACCCGGGCCCCGCTCCCTCCCCAGCGCCGCTGCCACTCAGGCCAGCAGCCGGAAGGGCCGGGCAGCCTCTGCTCTCTCACCTGGGCACCTCCAGCCTGGCCCCCGGTCCGGCCGGTGGAGAGGGCCCCAATCCTGCTGCCATCCTCGGCCATCAGCTGCAGAAAGAAGGGGAGACACCACCCTGCTGCTCTGGGATACTCCGGAAAGGCCGAGACCGGATTCCACCACTGGGGCCGGAGGGCAGGCTCGGGCTGGTGGGTCAGCCTGGACAAGGGCCACGTGGCCAGTCCCCTAAGTGAGGGAATATACCAGGTGGGCCGATGGGAAGCTACAAAGCAAGCGGCAGAAGCCGACAAAGGCTGCAGCGGAGGCAGAGGACAGAATGCGACGGTCTGGCCAGGTGTGAAGAGTGGTCTGGCTCCACAGCCTCCTGAAAAGCCTTATCGTGAGATAAGCAAAACTTCCCGGAAATGTCCTGCAGAAAAGGCAGAGCAGCTCAGAGCAGAAGAGGTGCGAGCCCGTGTGGCGTAGTGGTTAAGAGTGCAGGGCTGGGACCCGGCGCCCCGGGTTCTGGTCCCCCTCATCCGGGGAGCCCAGCGGGTGACTCTGGGCCGGTCGCAGCCTCTCGGGCCAACGGGGCTGCTGTTTGGGGATGGGACTGACAGCTGCAAGAGGAGAACGCACAAGCCGCTTTGTGTTCGTTCCAAGAGCAAAGCAGGATACACATCAACGCAGCACTCCGAAAACGGGAGAGCGGCACCAAGCCACACCTTGTGAGTGAAATCCACCCCCTTTGAAAAGGCTCGGCCATACCCAGGGAGAGGAGGAAGCCCCCTTGGCATCATCGCGCGATCGGGGCTTGTCCAGGTGGCCTCGCGGTGCGGCGCCCCCCTCCCCCCCCGCTCAGAGCATCGCTGCGGGCACCTGCTGCTGGCACGGCCGACCGGAGGGGGCCGGGCTTGTGAGGCGGGGTGGCGGGCGCGGCGCCTCAACGGCCAGCGACGGGGCTGGGCCGGGCCGGACGGCGGGAGGCGGCGCGCCAGGCCTGCCAGGGACCGGGACGCGCCGCCCCGTCCCCGCTGCGCCGATCTCCGCCGCCGGGGCCCCCTCCGCTCAGCTCAGCTCAGCTCAGCTCCGCCGCCACGCCGGCCTCACTGCGGGAGCGCGGCCGCTCGCTTCCCACGGCCCGGGCGGAGGGGTCCCGCGGCCTCCCGGGGACTTCCTGGCCCGCCTTCCCCGCGCAGCGCAGCGCAGCGCAGCGCAGCGCAGCGCAGCGCGCGCCGAGGCGAGGCGAGGCGAGGCGAGGCGAGGCGAGG